GGGGGGGGGGTTTCCAAGACAACTATGCCATTTGAGTATCGACCTGTCCAAGGGGAGCCAGCTGGGGATAAAACCTCTCCACCATTCCACCAACTTTCGGATTCGCATTCGCGAGAACCCAAAGGAAAGCAGGTTGGGCTAGGTAGATACACTGTGCTATATAGACTAGCTAGCGTCCGTCTCCTCGCGTCGAGCTCGGCATTTCGTGATTGACAACCCTCGAAGGGATGAGGTTCTACCTCCCGAGAGCGAACGCAGCCAGTCCCCGGTTTCAGATCAAGGCGCCTCCTTTCCCAATCCATGCCTATGTATATCTTGCTCTTCCACCCGAAGTAGCCACGCTACACAGCTTTCTCAGACGGCAGCGGCAGCGGCTCAGCCGGTGGCTCAGCCGGTGGAAACGGCGGTTGCGAGATTCTCTAATAATGCACGCCAGCGTTGTGACTAGCCATGAAAGTGTCGTATCCCCAAGGCCATTGTTATCAAGGCCAAACAGTCGCCTCTCCGCTTTCACCCTACAAAGCTGCTGTCGTGAACATGGAGACAAACTCGATAAAGAGACCCATCATTATCGTACTTGCTTTTGGGCTGCTATCTTTCCCGCTGCGGACTGGTCTATATCAACATCAAGCTTGGCTTTCCTTGATCCAAGATAAGACAAGTGGGCTAGTTGGGGACCTCGATCGACGGACCCTTTTCTTCCACCTTGACAATCAAGTCGTGGTTCACCCGCAGGTTCTCCGCCGAGCTGAGGGCCTTTGTGACCGTTGTCTCGTGCCTTTCCTGCGTAATGCGTCGTAAGGCCGTCATCAGGAACCCGGCCACAACTTCAACTGACCATTGGTCGGGAATCAGCGCCAGAACGTCATCGACATCGAACCAGCCCCCGAAGCGCTCGAGCAAAGCGCCAGTCTGCTCAATCTGGTCGCTGACGTCCTGTATGGTGAGAAACTCGCCGAGGACAGCCCGAAACAGCCGCGCCTGCATGTCGTGCGTCGGCGTGCTCTCCCGCCTGCCGTCAGGGCGAGTGTAGATACTCGAACCACCACGCAGGCAGTACGAGACAGCCGTGTCGTAGTCGCCCAGCTTGTGTACGAGGAGCCGGATGGCGTCCTCATGGCGCCTCTCGCGGCCGTCAAGGATGATGGTCTCTGGGACAAGAAGCTCGTCCGGCAGCGCCGATATGCGCTCCCTGATGGCTGCGGCGTCGTACTGGTGAGCACCACCCAACAATTGCAGTAACCGCAGTCGGCTCTGCCAGACCTCGTCGTCTTCGGGGGCGTTATCTGTTAGGAATTGTCGATATGTCGGTTTCGGGGCCTGCAGAGCTCTGTATGATGTGTATGTGCCGGCAAACGTGTCTCGACTTTCTTGTGACGTCTCCAGCTCGCTGAGAACAATGTCCAAGTAATATGCGACGAGCTCGTTGACGTAGCCCGTGTGCCCCTTGCCGAAAACAAGATGCTCAAGGTAGTATTTGACGGCATCTGGAGCCTCTTCACGGAGGATGGCCACCACTTCCGCGGGTTCGAATCCGGGGGCCTTGCCCTTGTCTTCTGCAAAGATCTGCACGCCCAGCTTCGGGTTGCGGCTGGCAAGCCAGACACCATACTCCCTAACAAGGGCCTGGCTGCTAATCTTTGTGAGATACTCGCGGACGCGCTGCTCTCCGTCTTGCAGCTCGCCGCCATAGTCAGCCTCGCCCTCAATGATGCGCCGCCAAGTCGCAAGAACGTCGCCCGCCATCTTGCGGCTTTGGTATAGCCGACTCAGCACGAAGAGGCGGTGGTATGACTCCAAAAGGGAGGCAGCTCGGTCGAAGCAGTCTACGCCCTTATCGACGACGTCGTATAGCTCCGACCGGACAGACGAGCTCTTCCTCGCCAAGCCCATGGGCGAATTCTGGTCGAGCTCAAGGAGGACCAGTAACAACGCGGCATCGACGGTCCGGAACACCTCGCTTTCGTCCGCAACGCTGCCAAATCCCTTCTTCTTCCTCCACGCAGCCAGGAACCGCCGCAGGAACTGCACGACTTTACTGTCGAGGTCCCCTATTGTGTGACTGTCTTTGTGGAAATGCTCGCTTTCCAGGTAGTTCTCTGTTGTTCTCTTGACGCCGCCAAAGATCCATATGCCTCTCCGGCTCTCAACAATCTCATTCCGCAGACTGGGTATTAAAGATAGCACAACGCGAGGATCCAGACTACTCTCCACCAAAACTTCCTCCAAGGCTTTCAACTCAACATTTGTGAAGGGCGTCTCTGTCGCATGCAATAAGTTGGTAAGGAGGAGGACTCCAGCGCGCTGGCGCAGGTAACTGAACGTGACGAACTCCAGCTCCGACTTGGCATCCTGCCCCCTGAATGAGTTGAGTACCGTGAAAATCGCACGTCGGTTGAGCCTGGCTGGGTCTGAGGTTCCATCTTGCTCGAACGCAGCTTCCAGTCTAGCTTCCAGCCGCAGCAACATTGGGTTCCGAATTGCCCACCAGATGTGATCTGCCGCCCATACCGCTATCCTTGAATTGGCATTCGCAAGTCGTCGTGCAAACTCCCTCTCTTCTCCATTTCTGTTGTCTTCCCACCCCTCAGGCAATGCGTCCTCTTCTTGGGAGTCCACATCACGTTCGAACAGTTCTCTTTCTTTCGTCAACTGCTCTAGAGACGATGCGGTGCGAGAATCTGCGCTCCTCGGTGAGAATATCGGGTTTTCGGCTACTCCTCCAGGGAAAGGGGAGAATTTTCTTTGGCAAAGTCTGTCGACGATCTCTTCGAAATGAGTCTCATCGGTGCCCATCAGCGACCGAATACCCAGAGATGTCGTTTCATCTCCTCCTGGTGTGTCCGTCTCCAACCACCATTTGGATGTTTCTGGGTCAGCCCCGTCCGCATCCCATCTCTGGATCTCCAGGCCATGACGAAGCCCTGCTTCCGAGTCCTTCGTCATGGATGCAATGACATATCCCTCTTCTTCCTGTCCCAGTGTCATCCTGGACGATGACTGGCTAGATGACCCACCGTCCACCACCACTTGCCGGGGGTATCTGTCAAACTCGATAGTCGGTCTCGTTGGGTCGCCGTCAAGGTTCACAAACATGCCGATGCCGGGGTCCAACGGTCCGGTACCCGTAACAAGGAGGAATTCTTCGGCTGTTGGCGAGACGATGTGAGGTTTGAGGAAGACGGGAGCTGTTTTCGTTGGGGAGCTATCCGCCCATACAGGACCAGGCGCAGCTGGCAGGGGCTTATCTGTCAATGGCGGCGGCAAGGGGCCTTCGCCCGAAGGTCTTGGACTTGCAGATGGAGTTGGTGGTGACGATCCTTGTCGTGTGCGGTCATCAGCTCCTCGAGGACTGAGGTCCCTCCGTCCCCCACTGAGTAAACCGCCCAGGCTCGTGCTTCTAGCATGGCCGTGCGGGTCACCGGCAGATAGGAGCGGTCGGTTGTGAGCGGCCGAGGCACTTCTCAAGATACCGCCATCTACACTTCCGGCGATGTCTTGAGCCTGGCCGATCTCTCCAGCGGGCTGTGAGTCGTCCAACGATGAAATGGTCATAAGCGGAATCCTAAGCTGCCTGCCAACGTCGAGCAAGGAGTAACTCCGCGAATCAGCAACGCACGCAATGGAGTCGCGTCGGATTGATATTGTAGTCCCGGAGACATCGATATTCTGACCTGCCGTTAGCCACCAATTACACCGAGACCAAACCATTGCGTACCTTGACTGCTCTTGCGACCTCCCCGATCCTCACAACCTGAATCCTCCGCATTAACGACAGGAGAATGAACACCCCCGCAGCGGGTTCGTCAACGTCATCTTGGGGATCGTTCAAGTCTACTCCGCCAACCCAATTGCAGTTCTTCACCTGCGTGGTGCCGAATACGGGGCTGAATTCGGGGAGAGAGTAAAAGGTGACAGTCCAGTTGCAAAGCACACAGGCCTTTCCGACTTTGGGCAAGAGAAGAATCTGTTGAATGCCAGGAAGCGAGTTGCTGGTCTCGGCAAAGGCCGGTCGGAGACGGGAAGCAAGTATGAAAGATGGTCGTCCGGCTGGATCGGCTGGATCGGCTGGGATTTGGACAAAGTGAAGCAATTCGGACGCGCTCGTGCCAATGTATAGGTTGTGGTCTGGTGGTACGATGGTCAGCACCGCAATGAGCCAAGGAAGGCGGCATATCTACCTAGGTAATCAACACAATTAATCTTGGTCCCTTCGGCAGCGTCATCTGCCGACAAGGGCACATCCTCCAGCAATGTGCGCAAGACAAAGGGCCCGTCATTGCGGGCGATCGCATTGGAGCTCCTAGACGCAGAGGAGGTCTGGTCGTTTGGATCCTCGGATGCCATGTTAAATCAGCCGTGCTATCATCAGTGCCGTAATGCCATTGTCGAAATGTTGCGACGGCCGTCTCGAGGCGCGAGGGATGTTCTGCTGAGGGTATGATGCAGCTGGGAAGCTCCGAAGCTGGCAATCAGTTGATGATATGGAGCGTCAGGTCCAGGCTCCTAATCAGGTACCTTAGATATCCTTAGTGTGCTTCCCTTCCCACAGGTACAATACCTCAGGTACCTAGGTAGCTTGCTATGGGCGGATTACGTAGGCCTGTCCCGGGTTGCCGTACTCCGTACTGTGGCGCGAACATGTACCCGGGGCGGCCCCAGAGGCACGGAAACGGCCAGCTCTTGCTACCTGTGAACCCCTGCATGTCGGGTGCAGCCAATCAAATTGCTGCCTGGAAAGGGAACACGTTCCCCGAATCAGCGAGCTCAGTCGAAACACTTTCGATCTGCACCCGAATGGCACCAGCAGCCACGGACACTGTTGGATTTAAACGACTCTCCAACTCCGCCACCATCCTCGACCTCTCGGATGTCTATGGGCTCCCGGTGATGAAGTGACTACCCAACTTACGACCGAGAAACCCGACTCACAATGGCAGACGTTGAATCCGTTCTAGCTGCCAATGCCAACGCGCCGCAGGCAGAGGTACCTTCAGACACTTCAAACCTGCCCGAGGGCGGCAACAAGTTCCAACATGCCATCTCGGCCTGGAGAAGTGAGCAAAAGCCTTGGATAGAACTTTAAATGCTTATCCTAACCAAGCTAGCCATCGACTATACGAACCTCGTCGCGAATCTCGACAACACTGCCTCCGAGATTGTCACGTACCAGCGGGATTCGACTGTCCAGAGAAAGGAACTGGCCCAGAAGACAAAAGACTTTAGAAAGCTCGATGATACAACGAAATTGGCAGAGATAAAGGGCCTGTTAAAAGGTATGGCATGGTTGTGGCCGAGGCCTTACTCTTACTAAACGGATAGCGTACCAAACTTTCATCGACCTTCTCACGAATCATTCAAAGTCAATCAATTCGGCCTTCCTTCAGGCATACACATCCTTATCCGATGCGCCCGACCCATATCCGCTGCTGGAGGCCTCGGTTGACTCGATGCTCGTGTCCGAAGACACCCTACCGAAGCTGACCGAGGAAAATCAGCACCTGCAAAAGTCTGTCGCCAAGCTGACGACGCAGCTTGAGGATACGGAGAGCAAACTGCAGACAGAATCTGCCGCGAAGAGGGAGCTTGAAAACAATCTAGAAAGCAGGGTGAAGGAGGTGGAAGCTTCTTGGGTGGCTGTGTTGGACGAAAAGAAGGACAATTGGGCCGCGAAGGAGAAGACGCTGGAAGAAAAAGTTGAAAACCAGGAGCGACTGCTCACCGAGATCAAGGCGAGCTACGAAGTGAACCAGCGTTTGGGCAAGACGGATGTTGGAGATGCGGAGGGTCAGGCCGGTCACGTCACTAGTGCCGAAATCGAGATGCTTCACTCAGACCTTGACCGAACTAGTCAGCGGCTGGCCGAGATCGAAGCGCGAAACGAGCAACTGCGACTGGAACTTGCACAGGCAAAGTCATCCGCGACGACTCAAACACCCGCATCGCTGGAGGACGACCCCGCTTACATGCGCATGCGATCCGAGAATTCGTCCCTTATTCGGAAGCTCGATGCTACGAGGGTTGAGAAGGAGGGGCTCAAGCGTGATCTAGATTCCAGGCTGCGCAGCTTGGATAGAGAAGTTGGCCTTCTTAAGGAAGAAAGGGACAATCTAAAGTCCAAAGTGCAGAAATGGAGCGACTACGACGACGTGAAGCAGGAGCTCGAGGTGCTCAAGAGCATTGAGTTCTCGACGGGCGACGACGACGACGTGAAGGATGTTGTCGAAAGTGCTGCAGAGTCTAAGAGCCATGGCGACACTCTGGAGAAACTGCTCTTGGCACGGAACAAGAAGCTCGGCGATGAGCTGACCATTTTGCGTGTCTCCCACCAAGACCTACAGACAAAATTATCCGACCTCCAGGAGGACATGTCGCGAACAAACATGGACCTCGAGAAGTCGCAGAAACTCAACGAGCGACTCGAGAACGACCTCGCGACGCTGCAGTCGGAGTCGTCCAACGCTTTCCCATCAGGCGCGTCCGTGGCTGGAACGTTCAACCGCTACGCCCCATCAGTCGCCCCGGGGCGGAGGGGAGGAAGAGTGTCCCCGACATCGTCCATCATCAGCGGAATCGACCCCCGTATGAGTGGTGGCGGAGAACCCATGGGCGGCGGCTCAGGCATCCTGCCAATGATTACTGCACAACGTGACCGTTTCAAAAAGCGGATTGCAGAACTGGAGAGTGAATTGTCGGACACCCACCGCACCGTTTCGCAGCTGAGACAAGAAGTATCAGCTCTACAAAAGGACAATCTCAGTCTTTACGAGAAGACGAGGTACGTTTCGACATACAATCGGGCAGGGCCTTCAGCAACGTCGTCCTCAGCGGCATTCTCATCTAACCCGAACCCTTCAACCGTTTCCATTGGAGGCAGCGGGAACCCGGGGATTACCATGGACAGATATAAAAAGGCATACGAATCGAATATTTCGCCATTTGCCGCTTTCCGAGGGCGGGAATCAGCCAGGGCCTACAAGCGAATGAGCTTCCCCGAACGTGTGGTGTACTCAGTAACGCGAATGGTGCTGGCCTCTCGGACTAGTAGAAATCTATTTGCGGCATACTGTGTCGCGTTGCATTTGCTCGTTTTCTGCTCGCTATACTGGCTCGGCACGGTGGACGTGGAGAAGCATGCCAGTCACCTTGGCAAATCGGTAGCAGGAGCCGCCACGGCGGGCGCAGGGGGCCTCAAGGGAGGGGCCGGAGACGGCCACGGCGACTGGCAAGAGGAAGGGTTCAACGGGCACTAGTCGGTGGCCAGTGAGTGAGCGTCTGGTTGACAAGAAGGCGGGAAGCGAGATATTGATTTGGGCCAGCGACGAACGACTCTGTGGGCGAAGACTGTATGCATAAAACTTGTTTTTATCAGCAACTGTACGATTGGGCGTTGGGACATGTAGTGTGAACTGTGGCACTAAGGTAAGTTAACTTATTGAATGATCTCGTCAGAATACAGATATCTGCGATATCACTCTGAATACTAGCTACCAGGGATGGACGGGAACTTCTTCCATGATCCGAGATCTTGTAGGCGAGATCATAGATGGAGTCAAGCAGCGTTCGAAGCATGGCTACCTACTAGGTCCACCACGATGCTATTCTGGGGTTTTCTCATCGACTTACCTACGATATTCGTACCTAGGGTTCTCCAGTGCCGAGCTGCCACCGTGCCACCCAATGTCAAGAACGCCAGATGATTCGATGAACACCACCCCCCGGTTGGCGCTGGCCCGTCTGCGCGGCCCGGATGGAGTAGAGGCACGTCGACCAATGGGAGACCGTCGCGGCCCCAATGAAGCGCGGCAAAAGCAATGAACAAGAGTGGGGACATGCAACGTGGGCGCGTCGCCGGGCAGAGACTGGTACAATGTGGTACCGTCCCTGGCAACCTCAGTCGGCCTATCAAGTGTGAGAGTTGACGCGATATCTGTTACTATTTCAGGTTTCTCGCCGCTCTGGTTCGCTATTTCGAAAAGGCACGCACACACTCTCGGTCAGAGACCAGATGAGCAGGCCTTGTCTTTCATCCAACCCCACCACAGTGATACGAATGAACATACAGATGAAGAAAGACAAAGACAGGCTTGGCATTGCTAGGTAAAGCAATGTACTGAAATTCTTGATTTTGTCCTTGTCCGGATATGTCAGCCGAAGATAAGGTACGTCGTCAACATCATCATCATCATCATCCAACTAGGTACCTAGTTCACTTCGTCCCGGTAAGTAAAGTGGTAGACTAAGGTATATACTCACAAAATAACAAGTCCGCTACCCAGGCTCAACTTGAGTTGATGAATGGAAACAATATGGTCACGGCCTCGGATCCTCGATTCCTGGGCAGTGAGCACTAGATCCTCAAAACGTGGAGCGCGTCGCTACCTGTCACCACACAGCGAGGCCATCGAAGCGGGCCGGGCGCTTGCATCTGCCCTGGCCCTGGCGAAGATCGCCTGGCATCCACACCCGCCGGTATTACTTGCATCTCGCCCTTCCACTCATTCGCCCTCGTCCGACGGTCAAACCCCTCACTCGTTTCCTCGTCCTCTTCCCGCCCGTCGTACGGTTGTATTGGCATGGCGGCTGCCAGTCTTGACCATGGAGCCGCTGCGAATACCGAGCCTTTGCGTCGCACACCATGGCGGCAGACCACCCCGGCTATCCTTCTCCCGCCATCTTTTTGTGAACCTTGATACCATACCATTCTGGGCAGTTCAGTTCCTCGGGTCCTAGTGAGAAGCATTAGTGGCCGTTCTTTGCCGCCGGGGGGGAGCGGTTTGATAATGCTGTGGTATATTAGAAACGGCTGCCCGCTTGCACTACAGAACTCGTAAAGCCCACCCCATCTCCACCGTTCATCTCATATATCGAGAGACAAATCTACTTTCCTTTTCTTGAGTTTTCCGGTTCTCATTGTTTCCTAGTCTCGGATTTCTTTGTTTTTATCTGGGTTTTTTGCTTGAAATTTGGTACGATATTTCATTCCTCCGCAGAACGAGCATAATTACCAACAACCGACATCTCATCTACCTTTCAGGTCGACATCGCCTCCACTCCACGCTGCCGACCAACACCTACTTTATCACAAACAACCAACATGCGTTGCCCAACACTGTTGGTGCCAGCCCTGGCCTCCCTTGCCCTTGCTGCGCCAACCTACCCCACGCTCAACCTCCAAGCTGCGTTGCCGGGTAGCATCGAGCAAATCTCCGAGTACTTCAACATGCTGGCAACCAAGGTCCAGGCCATAAAGTACCTATCTACTGCACCAGTCTGCGACCTCTCCACGGCCAAGATGCCCGAGGGTGAGTGAGACCCGAGCCTGCAAGGCATACTTACACTAAAACACACGACCAGCTGCAACCGAGACTCTCGGCGAGCCCAGAGATGGACTGTCTCTCACGCACATCGCCATCGGCCGCGGAACCCAAAACTACACATGCGACACCAGCAACGCAATGGCAGTCCCCGTCGCCACCGGCGCCATCGCCACGCTCTTTAATGCCAGCTGCGTGGGCTCCCTGTACCCCGACCTGCTCGACAAGCTGCCCGTTGTGGCCATGGACTTCAACCTCACAGAGCAGGAGGCGAGCCGCCGCCTGGGCCCGAGCAACCTCGCCATCTCGGGACACCACCTCTTCACCGGTAAGGGCGTCCCTCTCTTCATGCTGGAGAACGACGGCGCGTCCGTCGGCGACTCGTACTGCGCCAAGAACGCGTCCATGCCCGCGCCTCTCACGGCCCAGTCCGGCCAACACGGTGAGGCGGCCGTTCCCTGGCTCCGGCTCCGTACCGTCGAGCCCAGCACCGGAGACGTCCAGGAGGTCTACAGGATACACACCGTCGGCGGAAGCGCACCGGCTTCTTGCAAGGGCCAGGCGGCGACTATCGAAGTCCAGTACGCTGCACAGTATGTGAAACTGCTTCCACTATATTTATGACCCATGGCTTACAAGAAGCTAGATACTGGTTCTTTTCTGGACCCGCCCAACAAATCGTCAAGTCTTCTACCCCTTGATCAGCCCCCTCCCCTCCCCCCCTTTTTTCTTTCGCGGAAGGAAACAGTTGTTATGATTCGAGGCGTTGGGGTGTTTTGGGTCCGCAGAAATATGCCACAGTTATTCTCTTCTATATACCATCATGTATTCCCACGGCACCCATAGGCCATTATCCATGGATGATTTTTTGCCGTGGCTGGAGATTAGGTAGGCCAGTAGTCTGAAACCGCTGGATAACACTCGTAATGGAATCGTTGTCTGTTGAGTCTTGTGGAGCTGTGGCGAAGGTTTCCATTCATTGATTGAGCTGTTTGTTTTCATGCAGAGTTGAAGGTTCATTCATGATCGAGACCAGCAAGGTGAAGGTGTGAGTAGGGAGATGTCGCTGTTTCGACTCATCTTACCATTCTGAAAGCCAATCAAACTGGTAAGATTTTTTTCATCCCTGATTTTGGTTCAATTCACTATACACTACCTAGGTGAATAAACGAGGTGAAAAGCAAATGTTGGCATGTCCTGAAGGTATGGAGAGAATGAGGTGGCAATGGGAGAATCAGCGACAGGTGGTGCAAGTGCAAGGCAGGTAGGGAATTGGTGTAGACTCGATAGACCCTGACCGGCCCCACCGCCTATCCCCTGTCCTTGCCGCAAGCACCCCGCCAAAGACCACCGCGACCGCCAAACAATCCCATGTTGACGCCTGCTTGCTGATCCTAAGGTAGGCGCCCCGGCCAAATGCTGATCAGAGGTAAGGTAGCCAATAGCGCAGCTTCTTTTGTCTGAGAAGACGCTAAAAAGTGGTCTCATAACCCTCCGAACCGGGCACCTGCCACCAGTGACTTCACTCGGCTCCTGCTACGCTCTGAAGAGAAATTCCGTCGACTTTGACCTACCTTACCTCAACTTTGCAACAAACCTCCCTTTGAGCCGACCTTCCACATTTTTTTGCGCCTCATCAACACAGGTATACAAACAGCGAAGAGTGTCTCAACATCACAGAATATTGCTAACTCTCTAGCCCAACATTCTGCAGCTTCCGACGATTGCACAGTCGCCACTCGCTCTTACCTAGGCAATTCCTCGACTTTATCGATTTTTGTGTTTGACGTTTGACGATTCCGAGTGTTCCTGCAGCCACGAATTGCAATTCCCCCCACGAAACAGCCTTTGCTGTCTACCTTATACATGATATTCGCTTGTTTTGGGACAGGCCACTTTCAAGCACAAGCTACCGCGGTCTCCCATTCGATTGCCCGAACTGCCCGACCCGACAGGCCGATTGATGGGCGACCGCTGAATATTGAACTCCTTCAACTCTCACACTGAGCCCCGAGAATCGACGCCAAGCTCAGACAGGCTTACCTATGCTTGAATAATCGACGGTCGAAATGAATAGAAGGGCAACTGCATCTTCGGAAATGCCCCGCAAACGACGGAGGATACGCAGACAGAGTGCCATGGATTCAGACCCCTCCAAGCTCACCTGGCCGCCAGCCATGGTCCCAGTTGAGATCTTCGACGAAATCACCACCTACCTCGCCCGATCGGATGTTAAGACCCTCCGTTTGGTTAACCGCGAGTTCGATAAAATGGTCTCTTCAAAATACTTCCGCAACGTTGTGGTTCCTTTCCGATCGGAGATGTACAAGGCGAGGAAGCAGAAGATACCTTGCCTGGAGGAAGAAGACGACGGAGTGCAGCGTCAGCTCGGAAAGGATACTCTCTTCTCCAGCGGCATGCGCATTTTCCAGTCGTTCGGCGAGCACATTCTACGATTTGCCTTGTCACTCGAGCTGGACGAGGAGAGCCTCGCCTACCCGCCCATCAAGCCGACACAGAAAGCTGTCACCTCGTACTGGGGTATCTACCGGTGGCCTCACGAGTCGTACCTTAGATATACGGAACTTGAGGGGCTTGAGCAGACCGCCGATGAGACGGCGTCTATGAAAGAGGCCTTGAGATGTCTGGTTAAGGTTCAAGAGCTTGGCTTGTGTTGCGATGCTGGGCTGGGCTACCTTTTGGGACCCGACCAACAGTTGGAGAGCCCCCCGCTGCCGCACCCGGTCTTTGGCCTGCGCAACTTGCGATATCGAACGCTGCAGCGACGCCTTGCCCGGGCCGATTCGGACACAATGAATGCCCGGAAGCTTGCCTTTGAGAGTCCTCGGGAGTTCAAGTATACTGTACTGGAGTCCATGGTGAGGAACGCTGGGTATACGCAGGAACAGGCAAAGGACGCCATAGCCATGCTTCTAAGCACTGAGAACGTGTCGCTCATGAACATCGACTTTGACGAACGTACTGCTGCTGCCGCCGCTGCCGCCTCCCACGCCGCCTCCATAGCCGCCGCTAACGCTAACCTCATTGCCAATGCCAACAATAACAACGATACTGTCTTTGCCAATGTCATTACCGACGATCAAGAGGATAACCTTGCTCAGGCGAGAGCGGCGGTCGCCGTGCTACATGAGATAACGGCGGGCCATGCACTACAGCCCAGGAATCTGACTCGAGCTCAGAAAGAGATGCTACTAGAGCTAGAATGGGCTCACCGAGCTCTCATCCAGTCATATGTGCTCGCCCTCATCGATAACGCTCGGATGAATAGCTTCAGCTCTCTGACGACCCTGACGATCGCCAAGATTCCCAGCAGCCACGTCTACATGTTGCAGAGGGCGGATTTCTGGCAGAGTCTGCCTAACCTTACTAACGTTGCTCTGGCTGTTGTAGCCGACTGGCGTCAGGTATCCAAGGTCGCTCCTGGTTGCGTGGAGGACAACCCCGTCTCGCCCGTGGACGCGGTGGCTAGGGTCCACCGCTTGCTGCGAGACCATATTGCGACACAACCCAACATCAAATTCCTCCACTTCGAGTGGGTGTGTGGCGGCGAGTTCGCACCTGGCATCACCCAGCGGAACCAATATGTGCTTCCCGCCCCTTTCTGCTTGCCAGCGCAGATGGTACAGCCCGGAGTTGCCAAGTTGCCAGACGCCGTGCTCGCTCTGCCGCATGTCAAGCACCTCTCGCTCAAGAATTGCTACTCGGCGCCTCACATCTTTCTGCAGGTTCTGCGGACGATGGCAATGCAATCTCTAGACAAGTTGGAACTCGAAAGCATCTCTCTCACAGGCGCGCCCACGAGAAACCCCAATGTTGAGAACGCGTTTGGACCTGCACTTATCGTTGGGCCGGTACATGGACCGGGCCTAGTGCTGCCGTTTGCACAAGGCCAACCCCAAGCTTTGCAACAGATTGCACATTTGCACGCGCACCAGAACCAACCACCGCCGCTGCCGCCCGCTCCTCTCCAAACTCAAGCCAACCCGGGTTTCGGGTTTATACCTGCGCTTGCGGCAGGGGCTGCGGTCGCTCCGCCCCCACCGCCTGCGCCTGGCAACATGCCGATAAACATGGCTGTCAACCACATGGCTGGCATGATGCAGCAAGGTCTTCCGCAAATCGCCAATGTGGCGAATCACGCAGTACCCCCTCCACCTCCACCCGATCCGTTCTCTGGTTGGGGTAGGATGCGACTAAGGCAGCCACGACTGCTGTCCTGGGCTGGCATCGTTGAACGTCTCGCACCGGCCCCGGCGATTCGAGAGATCCTGGCTGGCCAAGGTGATGAAGATGACGAGGACGATTGGGTTGACGAATTTGTGCGCAAGGATGAGGGGTTCTCACTGATGCCGCGACCGCACAGTCTCGTTAGGGAGAAGACCTCGTTCGGCATCGAGCACATGTCGCTCAAGTCGTGCGGCTACGCGGTTTTGGACGTCGCCACGATTGACAATCATAGTATCTTGCCAGTCAACTCACCCTGGCAAGAACCTTCGGAAGTGACTTCGCGTCGGAGGGAGCTCGCGCCCTTCATGCAGACTTGCAACGACAGACTGACGGCCAAGATTACCAATTACTTGAGCAATCAGGAGCACTTCAACCTCACGACTGCGTTTGGCATGGACACGGAGTGGACTGGTGTGTATGATGAGGAGGTCATTGAGGCTGCAAAGAGGGATGGTATCGTACATCCTGGAAAAGGACGCTTCACTGGAATGATTACCAAGGCGGCAAAGCAGGTTTGAGCTGGACCACCCGGTTACGCGAGAAGAACTGTATAATGAATGATTGGGATTTCTTTGGGTGGGCCATTGGAGTTTTTGGTTTACGGCGTTTCTGGGAAAAGATACCACGGGACCACGGGGAAAAAAATAGGACAGGCAATTGGCGGCATGATGACTGGATGAGGGACCCACAACGCCGTCCGTACCTATATTACGAAGACATCGAGGCTCTGACGAGGCTCAAACGCGCCATCATCGTCATCATCATCACAAGGGCGACTTTGGATGATTGGTACAGAAGCAGGCCAAAATTGATTGCATTTCCTCGAAACCGTTGACGCCGATCATGATAGCTAGGACCGCCTTAGGGAATCATTTTTGCATGTTTGTTTATTGGTGGCCCATGCAGACCGTTGCGCGTGTGAATTCGCATGCCAATCCCTAAATGCCATGAGACCATAGCCTTCCTGTACACCAGCATATGAAAAGCCGCAAAGTTCTTTTTATTGATCCACGCATCCCTCAACCCAAGACCATCCATCCCAGGTGTTCCGCGTTTGTCCACACTTCGCGCCGACCCTTCTCACGTCATGAACCGCACAAAAATCGAAGACCGTCTAAATAAAGAGGAGAGTTCGTTTATGCGGCGGTGATGGCCTGGCGGACACGGGCACCGCGCTGGCGGGAGTTGAGGCGGATGTCCTCGCGACCAGCGACGGCCTCGGACTTCTGGACGACCTCATCGCCCTCGGTAAGGATGAGCTCGATGTGGCAGGGGTTGGACATGTAGGGGTTAATCTGCGATGTGCGTTAGTCGCCGAAGTTTCTGATCATCTCTCGAAGTATCGAAGGGGGAAAACATACGCGACCGTGGGCACGGTATGTGCGTCTCCGTTGCTTGGGGGCCTGGTTGACCTGGATGTGCTTGACGACAAGGTTGCCGGTGTCGAGGCCCTTTGCGTCGGCGTTGGACTCGGCGTTCTTGAGGAGGCCGAGGAGGAACTCGGCGGACTTGACGGGCCAGCGGGCCTTGGTGACGCCAAAGGCCTTGCCCTGGGCGGTGCGGCCGATGGAGCCGGCGTAGCGGCGGAAGGGAACGGCCTCCTTCTTCTCGGAGACGTTCTCGAGGAAGGTGACGGCGCGCTGGAGCTTCCAGCCGTTGATGGCCTGAGCGGTCTCGCGGGTGTTCTTGAAGGACACACGGAGGTAGGCACCGCGCGCGCGGGCCGACTTCGCGGGGGCGATCTCTTGAGCAGCGTAGCGAACCTGATGGGGGGGAACGTTGGTGTCAGTATTTTTCGAGGTATTGAAACGTTTTCCATGTTGTTCCTAGTCCTCCTCTTCATCGAAAATCACGAGTGACATAATAGAGTCACAGTCCAGTTTTCTTTTTGACATCGTGAAATTTCGACCCTCTTTCGACGAGGGGCGGGAATCGTCTCGGCAGGGGCGACAGGGTCGAAATTTCCTCGATTTCACCAACTCCTCCTCTTCGTCGACAGGAATACGGATGGGGAGCGGCGTTGCGACTTACCATCTTGATCGTTGGGTGTGGTGATGGTTTCGGGGTCGGTCGGTGGTCGGTCGTGGGCTGGCTGTCAGAGTGAGGTTAGAAGAAATTCACAACTTTCGTTGACCCTAGCCCTCCTGCGCCGGGTTGGCTCGCTTGCGGATCGGGAAACGGCAGGGGGGTCGGCCTTAGGGTTCCGCAACCCTATGGGGTAAAAAGACTGTTTTTCTCCAGCCATCATCAAAGGAAAATTGCAGGGGAAAACTGATAGGACTCACAATATGTTTGAGGAACGGCCTAGAAACTCTGCTTTGATTACTCTGGAATACGATTGCGGTCTGGTGTTGGAGACAATCTCAAGATGATATTCCAAGTGTTCTTCAATCTGTTGCAGCAGGTCAGGTACACCACCTGTTCTGACGCTCCTGCTTCCCGAGTGTGAACCCCACTTTGAAGTGGTCCATGGGTCTCGTTATCTAATCGCAACAAAAAAAAACTTGCCGGAGAGCGGCACCTCTGAAATTCCGCATTCTCCAATCACCTTGATGACCCCACAATCTTTTACCAGCTTGGCCCGTGCGTACCTCTTGAAGCTCTGAGAAAAAAAGTCCGACGAAAAATTTCAAACTCGCAGTCCAGTGTCCAGTTGTCTTAACCCGCCACCAGAGGATTAGCACCTGCGCCTCTGCCCAATTCGAACTTTTTTGCAACACGGGAACTGCCAGTCTTCTTCTTCTCCTGCAATAACAGTCCCCCGACTACCCGACCTAACATATTCAAAAGACAATGGCTCCCTTCACTCCTCGTGGCGGTAGTCGCGGCGGCGGTCGTGGTGGTTTCGGCGGCGGACGCGGTGGTGGTGACCGTGGTGGCTTCGGCGGCCGTGGTGGTGGCCGCGGAGGCTTCGGTGGTGACCGTGGCCGCGGTGGTTTCGGTGGACGCGGTGGTGGTCGTGGTAAGTTTTGAGTACTACTTTTCGCGATGCCGACGCGGAAGATGTGCTAACGAGAATCTGCAGGCGGTGGTCGCGGCGGTCCTGGAGGTGCTCGTGGCCGTGGAGGTGTCTCCAAGGGCGGCAGAGGCGGCCGTGGAGGTGCTGCTGGCGGTCAGAAGGGAGGCCAGAAGGTCATCGTGGTATGTTGTAGCATCGGCATTTCCTCGAGAAGAGGATTGTCGTTAACAAGTCGCAGGAACCCCACCGTCACGAGGGTATCTTCGTCGTCCGTGGCAAGGAGGACGCTATCGCAACCCGCAACATCGTTCCCGGAGAGTCCGTCTACGGCGAGAAGCGCGTCTCGGTCGACAACCAAACCCAGAACGAGGACGGCACCACCACAACCACCAAGATCGAGTACCGCGTGTGGAACCCCTTCCGCAGTAAGCTCGCTGCCGCCGTCATCGGTGGTCTTGAGAAGCTGTACTTCGGCCCCGGCTCCAAGGTCCTCTACCTCGGTGGTGCTTCCGGTACCTCAGTCTCCCACGTTGCCGATATCGTCGGTCCTACTGGCTTCGTTTACGCCGTCGAATTCTCTCCCCGCTCCGGTCGTGATCTGATCGGCATGGCTGCCAAGCGCACCAACGTTGTCCCCATTGTCGAGGACGCCCGCCAACCCCTCAAGTACCGCATGCTTATGCCCATGGTCGACTGCATCTTCGCCGATGTTGCCCAACCCGACCAGGCCCGTATCGTCGCCATGAACGCTCACCAATTCCTCAAGGTTGGCGGTGGCATCCTCATCTCCATCAAGGCCAACTGTATCGACAGTACTGCCCCCGCTCACAAGGTCTTCGCCATGGAGGTCGAGAAGCTGAGAGGAGAGCGCATCACCCCCAAGGAGCAGCTTACGCTAGGTTGGTACCCCTTACTATTTCGGTTTGCTATGCGAAAGGACTCCTCGCTAATGCTTCACAGAACCCTTCGAGCGTGATCATTGCCTCGTCGCTGCCGAGTACTCACGCTATGCGAAATAAATGTGTGAAGGAGGGAGAAAAAGGTATTGAATGCGTTGCGTAAAGAAGAGTGGTGGGTGAGCGGTTGAATCTGTACATTTGCGAGATTCCCACGAGATTTGACTTTTGCTTCAATGGGTACGGTCGGTCGGACTTCATCTGGACAGGCGTTAGGAATTAAGGACTGGTCTAGTTCAGAACTTGCATGTTAACCCATATAGGTATCAAAAGTCCTCCGCGGTGAAAATGACATGTTTAATGGGCTTATAGACTGGAATAGGAGTAGTTGTTCGTTGACCATTTGCTGTCTCAGACTCTTCTCGCGGTGACTGATCGCCCGTCGTGATACGCCTACTCCCACTCCGTCTGGTTCTGATGAGATTTCACTGATTCCCGCCAGTGGCTCCAGACTCGTGCAGCCCCCGCTTCATTCGATCCCATCCACCAGACCTAAGGCAAGTGCCGGCGCCCCACACATCGTCGACCCATCCTTCTGCGGCTGACCGGCCCACGACACTAATTCTGACTGCACCATCGGTTTCGTTGGCTTATCCTCCTGCTGCTGCCCACTCCCGATTCTCCACCGGTCCTCGTAGCAGCCGTACTCCACGAGGTCGCGGGCGATGTAGATGACCCGCTCCTGCTCGGGCTGCCAGTCCATCGGCTCAGCCGGCCCACCTGCGCCGACGCTGTGTGCCCACGACTCGACGGACGTGCGTTGCTCCTCCAGGAGAAACAAGATGTGGTTGCGGAAACGGTAGTTGTTGACAACGAACTCGTCCGGTTGCTGGTCGCATCTGGTTTCTTTGGTGTGGTATTTGGGGGGTCTGGAGATCACGTTCCTTCGCTCGAGCCCAGACTGTTGGCGTCTTGTTGCAGTATCGGTGTAGTCGCCCTTGCGGTTCGGTGATGTGGTTCTGATGACGAGAGAGGTGTTGGGTAACGCTGGGGGCGTGGGGAGCACGATTTGATCGCCGTCTGTGTCTGATTTAGCTTCGAAGTGGCGGGAATATTCGTTGCTATGTCGGTAGCGTCTAGGGGACCGGGAAGAGTCGTGCAAAGGTCGATGTCTCCCTGTTGCATTGTCGGCGTCTTTTCGCGAACGGCGACGGACCTTGGTGACGGGGTTTACTCCTGTGAGACTAAAGTCTGGCTCTAGGCTTGCGTGCCTGTGTTTGGGGGATCGTTTTGACGACCTGTGTCTTCGTGGCATTGTGGCCCGGTGAAGCGGTCAGATTTTTCTGGGCGTGATGTCCAAGACGGATATGAAGATACTATTGTGGAAGATGCGCGGGCTGAGATCAGCCATCTGGGGGGGGCTTCGAGAGTGCTCAAACCTCGACCGTCCGCAGACTACGGGTGTTCGAGTGAAGTATCGCTGATGAAGTCCTCTTGGACTTTATCTTGAGTGTCTTCACAAGCTTCGCTCGCGCGTTTTATGGCCGTCGACATCTTTCGATGATTAAACAAAAATAGAACTGCCCAGAGCCTACATCCTGCCGATAGAAGGACCGAGCTTCTAGAAGCCAAGGAGTAGAGACTTCATGGTGCGATGGACAATCTACTGGAAGGTGTCTATCGAGGCCGCCCTCGTTTGATCTCGAAACCGAACAATGAGACAACGTCGAACCTCACAAAGATTCGTCAGTGCTGATGAAGGCTCCTCTCTGGTCGTAAAGGTTCGGGAGAACAGGTCATTTCTACCCTCTTCCACCAAAGGCCGCAAAGAAACGGTACCTTGTCGATTCGGTGGTCGTGGATGAGACCTATGGCGCTGATGGAACAAAGACCACTCCGTCATTTCGAATCATCAAGGGGGAAATTTCGAGCAGCTATCACCTTATTAGATAGTCTGTTGGGCGTACTTCGAGTTTGGATGTAGCTCAGACCCGGTGACTGTAGATCGGCGTTGTGAGTAGAAAATATTTTTATCATCTTTTCCCTATGCCTTTACATTGGAAACATATAAGTTTGGTATTTTCCACCATCACTTACTGCCCAGTAAAGCCAAAAGATTTGACAAATGTGAGTGCTTTTTGCCTTTGCTTTTGCAGAACTTCGCCGTTGTCGGAGATATTGATCACGACTTTCGCAGCGAGCGTTGCAGCACAAGCGACGCATAATCCGACCATCACGGCACTACCAACTCATTCCTCTCTGGTCAACATTTACCGACAAAATACCGAGGTTCATTAGGAATCATGCGTCCCTGAGAAGTTTGTATGCGGCTGACTCAGAAGACCCGGTAGCGTTGGATGAAGTTGTAAACGAACCAAACGGCCTACACGTCCGAGATGAGGTGTCAGGCTTCTTGTTTGGCCTTTTTCGTCACTTTTTCTCATACAGCGAACGAAATTGTCCATCTCGTATATCTGATTCGGACGAGTCTAATCAACCAAACCATGCCTCTATCTTAGTCACACATCAGTGGTAATGGTCCGAACGCCAAGCTGCGTTGTCCTGGAAGCTGTTGGGTGTTACGGGACGGCAAGCCGAAGAAACTCATAATAGCCTGTATTACTACAAGATGCACCTTGAGACTTGTCTTGATAAGACACACCTAATAACTTGATGCTCTTCGCCGCAGTGTGATGACAGCGGTCCGCCTGGGGTGGATCCGGCTTATTTTGTATCCCTTCAACCGGCCTTGTTCTATCTAGCCTCTTTCAGTAACTATTCCTGTCTGTCCCGCGTGTCTGCATCAGAATCAAGGCTGGATTGTGCCCCAGAAACATACCGATTCAGCTTGCGTCTATCGAATTGTTCGGAGGAATAGTCAATTTTCGTGATGTTGCCGTGGTGGCGTACATCCCTGACGAAAGACGGCTCTCCTGCTGGAAAAGAACCGCTAAGTCTATTACCCCGGACCCTAGCGCTGTCAAGAAGCGGCACGTTAATTACCCACGCCCAAAGAGGCAGCTGGCTCGGGTGTCTTGCACTCCTATGACGGTTGTTTCCAGGGTCCGGCCAGGAGAAATAACATGATACGTGGCTGTGTACGGACATTCTCGCAAGAGATGAAGCAAGAGTCTATCATACCCCGCATGCCTGGCGAGATGGTGGCTCTGGAGACCGCTTCTCTCTAAGGATCAAGCGATGCCTTCTTTTTGCCATTACACGTAGGTTGTTGGCTGGGCCCAGAGTGGTCGCGGACAAGGACGAGGGTGGTTGCTGCGAGCGAAGGCCTAGACCGGGCGCGGGTAGGGACAAATCGCCATGAGACGATAGAGATGACTACGAAGTATTTCAAAAATGGGATATGCTCGAGAATCCCGGCTCGGAGGGCGTCGACAACATCTCCCCCGCCCGAAGTGACAGGGGAAAATCCCCTACGCTGCGTTGTGGCGGTTCACAGAGGATTAGCTCCTACTGATCACGCAGATTACCTATCGAAAGCAGACCGTTAGAGCAGAAGACTTTGAGGTTGTCGAAAGAGGGGTGGTATGCATTTTGTTACTAGCGTGGTCTGGACTTGCTTTCATTGCTCGTACCACAGCAAATGAGGGGTTTGAGACCGTAAGCATTATTGGAAAAAAAAAAACCCAGGGCCCGATGCTTTATCAAGGCAATCAGATTCAAAGATCCGTCGCCCTGACGTGGCGGGTAGTTTACCACCAATCTATTAGAGTTCGGTCACCTGGCACCCACAAAAAGCCAAGATGAGACCTGGTCGAGAAGCCCTTGGGCTTACGGCAAAAGTGTTGATTCCGGGGTTATGGCCAGCTAGGACAACGATCCGAAGCCCGCCCGGCATAACAACTTGTGTGTGCCGCTATCAATGAAACGCAATTCTCTCCCTCTGGAGACAACGGGCCGCCAGTACCAGGACGTCGGATCCAAAGGGAACCTGGTTCGGTGCCATCAGTGGCGAGCAGCCGCAGGCGAGGCGACACATCTCTTGTCTACCTCATGTTTCATTGAAAGGTTTCTTGCAGAGGTCATAGATTAAGGAGCTGGTTAATTCTTGATTAGCTATCCGTACAGTCAATTCTGGCACCGCGGATCGAGGCTGCCCAACGACAGGCCCAAAGAGAGATGGGCAAGCAGCGCGCAGAGGCGCGGCATAACCTGGTAAATTAGGCTGTTGAAGGAAGACATGCAGGGCCAAATTTTCCACCTTGGACTAGGCCTTACAGATGGGGACACCCGCGTGTTGGCTTTTCCGTGGATGGACCTTTGGAGGGACGGCGTGTTTTGACTTGGAAAGCTTGTGGTTGCCATCTCCCACAAGAGATACCTACCACCCGGAGGAGGACCCCACTTTCCCCGCTGGGGACAGGCACCTGGGACTCGCTGGGGGCCTGCCCTGGGTCCTGGGGTCGGGAGTGGCTGGTGCTGTGTTGGATAAATGCGGGTCCTGGCCCCATCTGTAATGTCACCACCCTTCATTGTCGTGACCAGAAACCTTCTCTTTGGCTCCTGAGGTGGCCTCCTGCTGTTCGCTTCGGTCATCCAACCAACCAATGGAAGTTCATGTTGGGGCCTGCACTGGAGTTCTGCAGAGCACGACACAGTACCTTAGAGTCTCCTCCCCCAGACTTCGCCGTCTTCATGCATTTCAAGCTTCCTGTCCTCCGGGCTTTGGCAGGCCTCGTAGCTAATCAGCGCTCGTTCAGGACCTCCAACAGACACCTCGGTACGGCAGTACTATCTCCTCTGGGCTTTCAAACGGCGGCACAGCTTGTGCCTAAACTGTTAGGTGGATGTCTGAAACTGCAGTCGGTCCTACTGGATCGAATCTTCGCCACCGAGGCCCAACTCACCACCGCTTGATCTCGTTTCGTCCCGTCCAACAAGTCATTCGAACATCCATCCCCCACAGATGCATGTCTGGCGTGTGGCTTGGCATCGAGCAGTCGGTACTGCGGTTTTGCAGACGGCATGGCGCTGGAAGGTCTCGCTCTGTCTCATCTCAAACTCACAGCAGACAATACTCCAGGCGACATCACGCCGCCGACGACTTCGTCTTAGTTCCAACCCTGTCCACGAACACCCGTTCGCCGTCAGCTTGGAGACATCGTTGATCGTGGCGCCATCCACGTGTTCGAAATTTGCATAGTGCCGTCAGCCGGTCTAGGAGATGTTGGATCAAAGCACATTTCAGCACATTCGACGACAGCTCAAGTCACTGTGGCTGGCCATCAATCTATTTTCATCCCAATAATGATGTCCTTTGTCGGCCCTACGCCATACAGCGACTGCACATTGACCGTTGTGTCCCGAAACGGAATGGGTATTCCATACCGAGGTCAGAGAGCAAGTTTTGTTCATTTGATGTTCGAGATGGTCGCTGTGTCACCACCACATCTGACGGTACGGTGAGGCAACGTGGACGTCAGTCTTGACTAGCTGCCGCTATCTACAGCGTGGCAATGCTCTAGATTGGATGGCTCTGCACGGAACCCTGCATCAAAGCATCAGCGCTCACGGCCCGTTTCCTTCAGCACCATCAGAGGGTTGCAGAATGAGACCTTACTGCGGCTTGAGCATTTCGTGAAAAGGAAGGCCGACATTTGAGTTTCAATTTCCTCGAGTCGTGGTCCAGATCGTTTTACCATAACTATCTACCCTGCTAGTGTTGATGGAGTCAGCAAACACGAGCTGCCCTTGGTTCAAAGACGACATATCTAAATTACAGCCCTCGATCCCTGCCTTGCGGTGGCTTGACAATGGTTTCACCAGGAGAATAGAAGTCGATGGTTCCCCGAGACTCATCGGTAGCGGCAGGCCAGGAGGTGCCTGGAAGCCAGACAGCGTGGAGTTTGGTACCGTGGTACTCTCCCGCTGACCATCCCGCCACCGCCTTGACCATAGTTTGCATGTCCAAGCTCCCCGAGAAAACAGAACATTTCGGCCTGGCTTGCATGGCTGACGAGATTAATTGGGATGACAGACTACGAACTCAACGCCAGCTCAGGGGTATCTGAAAACCAAGAGGAGGCCATGCGGTGAGGGAGGATGGTGACGGCCATCAGTCAGAAAGTTCGGAAACTGAAGGCAATTTCGTACGACAAATACGGCCACTGCGGAATGCCTGCAATGCAACTTGACAGCCAACGAACGGAGAACTTTGGCCCAGGGTAGCCTTGTAACGGTGCTGCTGGAGGAATTGACTGGGGCCACCCTGGCGTCCCCAGGTTCGTCCGACCCCGCGCCAAGCTGGCTGTGGACCCACATGCGGCGAGCTAAGGCAAGTCCTTCACTTGGCCTGTTCCGGCTTCGACAACCATCCCTCCTCCTAACCCCCCTTCAGGCTTCACGCGGACATGGGGACCACACCAAATCTCCAGCAATTGCCAAGTTTCTTTGGCGGCTTCTCTCCCGCTTTCTAACTAAGAGGGTACTAACGTACTCACCGCGCCCCGTCCCAACATGGAACATGGTCTCGACAGCGTCCTGGCAAATCCGGCCCTACACAACCCCTGCTACAAGCCATGCGACGGCCTAGGGCCTACGGCGCCCCGAAGAGTTGCTGACTCGCTCTCTTCCTCTTTTCTTACATTTTACTGCAGTTGCCACCAACTTTCGTCCCGTCTCCTACGTCGTTTCCGGACCAATTTGATTATTGTTTCTTGACAGGTCGGCTTCTGGATTCTGGTTCAGCACATCCGCTTGTGCTCTTCTACAGACCATCCCGGTCAGGAGTCTGCATAGCGTCTTGGTAGGAAGTCGACATATTGTACCGTCCCTATTACGCTGGGCAACGCCTCATGAACCCGCTGCTCGTCGGAACCATCACCACTTTTCGTTGGCTGGGATAAGTTGGTGAGGGAGGTCTGCGTACTTGAACGACTGGCCGTCCACCACCTCTAGAAACCGACTTGCAACATTTCGAGCAAGAACGACAACCACTGCGTCGGCAATCACTTCCATTAGTTCAAGCCATTATTGGCGGGCTTTGACCTATACATCAATCCGACGTTATTTCGAGTTTTACAAGGCGACCCGGCTACACAACGGGTCTCTGCCGGTTCCATCTACCACTACCAGCACCATGGACACACCTGAAGAGAAGGCCAATTTGGACAAAGGAGACCTCGACCTTCTCAGTATCATAGAACGGACCTGCTCGGTCTTCTCGCTGCTGGGATGTGTCTTCATCATCGTCACGTTTTGCTCGTCTAGAGCGTTTCACAAGCCCATCAACCGGCTTGTATTCTTTGCTTCCTTTGGCAACATGATGACGAACGTCGGAACGCTCATGGCGAGGTCATATATCGGCTCTCCGGACTCACCAGGCTGCCAGCTTCAGGCATTTCTCGTTCAAATGTAGGTACATCGAACCCCCAACTGACTTGCAACTAACGTAACGTAGGTTCATGCCGGCTGATGCGTTTTGGACGCTCACTATGGCCATCAATGTCTACCTGACTTTTTACTACAAGTTCGACGCTGAAAGGTTACGGAGAATGGAGATACCGTATCTCGTATGCTGTTACGGCATCCCCTTCATCCCTGCCCTCGTCTACGTCTTTGTTAGGAACCGCAACGGGCTGAGGGTCTACGGAAATGCGACATTATGGTGCTGGGTCAGGTCCCAATGGGAGATTTGGCGTATTCTCACATTTTACGGACCTGTCTGGTGAGCTCATTTCTGACTTGACGTGGCCTTTGCTAACTTCCCAGGATCGCGATATTGATCACTTTCTTCATTTACATCCGCGCGGGACGAGAAATTTACCAAAAACGCAAGCAGCTTCGGAATTTCAGCTCCTCGGACCACGATCCAATGAACTCGTACCACGACGTTCTCACGTCGATGAAGACAACTGAAGTTTACGTCACTTCGGAAGCGATGATGGAGCCCCAAGGCTCTATTGGTCTTGCAGCCGTGGGAAGACGTGGATCGGAAGCTGGGCCTGTTCCACGGGTGCCCAATGCCGCATACTCTGTTAGCATTTCTGCCAACCACCACCACCGCAATGAATTACAGGTTGAAGCGGCCGCCCCACCTGCCGAAAGTAGCACAGTAGATATCGCCGCTCAGCGCCCGATGAACTCTGCCCGAAGGCGCAACTACGAGCTCAACAACGCGGCTTGGTCTTATACAAAGTGTTCGATTCTGTTTTTCACAGTCATATTGATCACCTGGGTCCCGTCAAGCGCCAATCGCGTTTACTCGGTAATTCATGCAGGGGAGTCTTCTACGCCGCTAGAATTCATGAGCGCCTTTGTTCTCCCTCTTCAGGGCTTCTGGAATGCGCTCATCTACGTGGTGACCTCCTGGAAGGCTTGCAAGACGTTGTGGACTGACATCAAATATGCGTCTCGGCGGCCAGACGTGACGGAAATAGTGGGCAGCTTCCGGCACAGCGACCAATTCAAGATCCTGAGCCGGAATCACAGAACAAAGAACTACGACGGCGAAAGCATAACGGGGCTTACGAATAGCCGACCGACCTCGAATGAACAGGCATCGCGGTCGTAGTGTATGATGGAGAAGCGCACTTGTAACGATAGCGAAACGTTTTCTTGTACATGATACCCTGAAGCCATGTTGTTTTTTTGGGAGGCACTGTCGCGGAGGCTGGTTTTTTTTCTTTCTTTTTTTTTGTGATGATTTCTGGGGAGCTTTTATCGATTGCGGCGGCATACCCCAGCTTGAGAATTCCAATGATCATTTTCTGCCATAATTCTTGGTTGTAGATAGCAGCATTCACCGTGTATTTGTCATTTCAAAAGGCTCCGAGAAAGTTTTCGCCATGTGAAATCTGCTTGATCCAATATATAGCGCCCATTGGCAGACCTAACGTACTTAGCCTACAATACAATACAAAGACGCGGTTGGGGAACGGCGCGAAAGAGGGCTGACGTTTCAAAGACAGAGAGAGAGAGAAAAAACGCATCAGCTTCCACGTGCCGTCCCAAGACAAAGATGGGTTCCTGCATTTTTTTCGACGGCGCGTTCCTTTCGGGAGTCTAAGTCTGCACTTTCCTCCTCTCGTCTAGTCTCGTCTGGTCTCATCTCAGTCTCCGGCGCGCAGTAGCCATGCCGTGTAAGTGGAGTGCCGTGTGCCCTGGGCTCCACCGCAGAGCAAAGTAAGCCGTTCGGCCAAAACACCAGTTGACGCCGATAGGAATCGAACCCAACTTAACCTACTAAGCGTACCCCCGCTTCACACGAGAGCGTCATGATCGGCACTCAACGGTCCGTGAGTAAAATCATCCCTACGCACGTTTCTCGTGGCGGTGATTGGGCGAGTATGCCCGCAGCGCAATGCTGACAAAGGAAATGCCTGGGCAAAGACAACTGCAACGATTAAGGGGGGAAGGGTGACGCAAGAGCAAACAAGTCGTGGTCCCTCTGACACGCCGCACCTCCTCACCTATGCCATTTGATTGTGCGGAAGGCTGCAAGGACGCGGCTTGTCTGTGACAGGCTTCTACCATGCCTTTGCCTCCGTTTTAGTGTCCTGTGTTACAGTCGTCTGGGTATGCTGTTGGTACCGGTGGCTGGCTGGATTTTTCAGGGGCATTCCTCTTGATCCTGGCCGAAGACTGTGTAGGTACGCGGGGTGGGGGGTAATTCCAGTCAGAGCTGACTATTTGAGTTCGACTGTGCTGCTGATGGACATGTTGATAGGTTGCAAACCCTGGACAGAGTCAGTCAGTGAGAAAGATAGTGGTGAGTTCACGAGTCGCCCCTATTTCTCCGGGACGAAGTCTAGTCGGGGTTTGCAGGGAGTGTGGAGCGTCCGAGTGAAGGTATTCGCATCGGCGCACCTACTCTCCCAGCCCAGTGGGTTTCTGGAGAACTTAAGATGGCCCAATCCCACAATGCCAACTTGGGGGGAAACTTGGCGACCCCATGCAGGGGCATACAGGGAAGTGGTTTGTCGCTGACAATGGCAGACGGATGAACAAAGACGATGAGGTATCGATACGTCGGGCGGAGCCAAGCTTCCTCCCCCGAATCTTGGCCTAATGCAGACAAACTCAAGCTTTTTTTTTTTGAGGGTGGGGGGAAACATCTGCCCTGGCCGCTTGTTGCACTACGGAGGCTTTCATCTTTATCATGGGTTCGCAACACTACGAATTCTGCGAGCACATTGGCAAGAAGCTGTTCTAGCTTTGGGATGTTGGGTCTAATCGTCCGCCTCTTCTGCTCTGATCAGTGGCAACGACTTGACAGACATTGATTTCCATGTCATCCTGTGCCTCAATGGGACTTTTCTCCTGCACAATTATGGGCTTGTTAGGTCGACCGTCGAGAAATACCCAGAAAATAAAAGGGCCAACAACGAAATGCCACATCGAGAATCTGACCCTCATCGAGAGCGACTATTGGACCCAACAGGCCTGCCAGCAATCAAAGTCCCGGCGAAACTTTTAGGGCACTCCCTGTTAAACCTCCTGACGATCCCGTTTCGTCCACCGTCATGTCATGGTTGCTTTTCGGCGTGTTTGATTTAGGATCTGGGATTACCCGATTCACCCGATTTTGACCGCGTGTGTACATACCTATCAAGCTAGGTACGGATACGATCGGACATATGACGTGCTCCTTTTTCCCGTACTTGCAGGCCGAGCATCCGGACTGGCCCACGCGTTTAACGCAAGGCAGGAGTGGCACGTCAGTGCCTGGTCGAACCCCTTGCATTGCCCGCTGTCAGCATATGGCCGAACTTTGTCGAAATCTGCTAGGTATTGCTTCTCGTGGATAATGACGATGCGACTGAAGTATGCTATGGGGCTAGGCCTGTTGGGAAATCTGCATGGATTTGCCGCCTGCAGCATACAGTAAAGGCAGCCGCGGACCGCGGTCAAAATACCCATCACAAGATGCAGATAGTTCCAGTCTTCAGAGACAGCCAGCTCGGGTGAAATGAAGTGGTCGAGTGATTTTCTGTCTCCCGAAGCAATGTCGGCTACCCATCAAGTCGAGTCAAATCAGCCTGGCCGTATTCCTATCACTCGGCACTCCCGTCCCTCATCTCGACGTAGACAAGGTATGATATGTAGGCGTTCTTCAACGGCAATGGCTTCAACTGCCTGGATGGGATTCCCTCAGCAAGCCTTGTTTCGTAACAATAAAGCTGAGGCGTGATGGCCGTAAGTCTTCCTTGCATTGGTGTGCGCCAGGAGTCAAAGCGCGGAAGGATTTGGGACGGCGGGTACATACCGTCTCTTGGAGATGAGGCTTCCCAACGTCTTGGAATAGACGGTACGAGGGCACCTCTAAAGCAGGACTGGAATAGAGAAGGGTATGGATAATCGAGCCATGAACATACCAAGATACTCTAGGCCGTATGAGTCATTCTAAAATTCATCTTATTCTGGCGGATGAAATGCATATTGTGTGAGAACTTCTCAATCTCTATGTAGCCTTTTATGTCAAGGGATATTGATGGAAAGTGTCACGAGATGGGACTTCATGACTCTGTTGTGTTATAGCGGTAAGAACTACGCTGGTTACAGACTACAACGACTCCACGGTACTCCGCAACCTCTGCATTTTCTGGGGATGGTACCTTGTCCAGGTTGGCAACTTCTCCAGCTTCAAAGGTCGACGGCCGTCATGGTCCACGACGAGTAGAGTAAGTTCAGAACCTTGCCACGATGTAGAATTTCTACCAAATGGTCGCAAATCAGTCGCACATAACATAAAAATGCTTGTGTAGAAAATAAATGTCAACTTGACCCGAAACAGCGTGTCTCGACAAACAATAGAGCGCTTCTCTCCAACCGATTCCGCAAAGGACAGACATCTTATCCCGTATCAAAAAAACAAAAACAAAAAAAATCCCCCTCCATATTATTTCCCTAGCCCCCTTGCACACTGGATATGATGCTGTTGGCGACTCTGGCGGTGATATCAGTCGCGCTCTACATCGGAGCCGGCGCAACACTCATGAGCTGGGAAGAAGACGAATTCACCGTAACGAACGATACAGTCGCGTGGAAAGCTGAAGTCAAACTAGGTTCAAGGTACTTTGATCCCTCCCGAAACTTCTCCAAGTCTGATAAGACTTTTTGCTCATGTAGTGGAAAGCCTACAACCAAGTGCCATATCAAATGTGCTTGTAACGACAAGATCCCACCGAGGCTGCCTGAAAAATTTCCAACAAAGAGACATTTAGTTCGAGGAAGAAGGGAAGAAAAACTGTATCCTTATCGTTGTTTCACAGAAACAGGATTCAAATTCTTCCGCAATGTGCAAAAAATGTGTGGATAGTGTGGGGGAATATGGCTCGGATCAGTCACCAAATGGCGGTTCCTCGGAATCCAGGTTTCCATCTTCGTGGAACCATGTCAAGATGAGATTCCCTAGACATGAAAGGCTGGGAGATGCTGGAAATCATCTGCCCGACTGATCCGAACTCGTCAGAAACATGTCATGGACTCCACAGCCAAAGATAAACCAAACACCTACGTTCTTCTTTCTCCTCTTCCGATCTGGAAGGTTCGAATTCAAATCCAGGTTCTCGCGTCATGCATTTAATTTGGCCGAACGCGCTGTGAAAGCTTCCGGATCCTCATCCTCTGCACTCACAAATTTACCATCATCAAAGGTTGGTAAATCACCTCTATAGGTAAATATCGACTAGAAATTGATTTTACCATGATGGCACTTTGTTCCATTCTGTGTAACTCTGCCGCCGACATATTCCGACAGCTAATTCCAACGTGTAATGGCAGCGTAGTCCTCCGTAACGCTGCGGGATTATCCGACCCTTCAGGAGTCCCAAGGAGCCCGATAAATGAAAACACCGCGGCATACATAGAAATCTACACCGTGTCCTGTTGGATCCGTTCCCAAGCCAATATGTAAAGCAAGAGGCTCTCTCGGCCATCCAGGGGGGGTATTGTGAAAGAAATTTGGCCTCCAACGCCGTGCCGAGGAGACAGTCTCTGCTCCCTCCGAGTGACAAAAACATATCATACCATCCATCCGTTTGTGATTCGCGAGAAAACCAATTTGTTTCCTGAAAGTGCGACTGTCGTCACGCTTCCTTGACTGCCTCGATGATGCTGTACTCCCATGCCGTCTTAAGCTGCTCGCACTCCTCAACGATTCTGGCTTTCTCCCACCACCACTGATCTGCGGTGATGTATTGTCCCCATACTTCCCTCCAGAGCATACGACCGACAATACTGCGAAGCTCCTGCTTGACAGCCCTATCTGCAAGCTGCGCGGCATCGGTCGTAGCTGTGTCTGGCCTATCTGTTGGTGGCATGGCAGGAAATCTCACAGTGGTGATGGTACTGCCTTCAGCACGGAGGGAGGCGTCTGCCAACCAAAGAGGGAAGAGCTTGCTTGGGTTCATGCAGCGGAAGTTCTTCTCAAGATTGAAGATGAGGTTTTCCTCAATCCACGATCGCATTAGAGGGCCTAAGGTGCTCGTAACTGGTAGAGGATCGATCAACGTCAGGTGGAAGGTGCCACCGGCAGCGAGACACCGGTGAACATTCTTGAGGAGACTGGGAACTTCAGGTGATGGCAGAAGCGCCGGAAGTGCCAACGAGTAGACGACGCCAAAAAGAGACGGGGCCACTGGGAAGGCCGACGGTGAAATGGCCGGCACATTGACCGGGTGGATATTTGGAAAGAGTGTGTGAGACAGCGGCAACGAAGAAAGATGGTAGACTTGCTTATTGAAGTGGATGGCGGCTAGGTATGATGTGGTCGCTGTACAAGTTAGTCGGAATGATCAAAACCTGAGTAAGCTTCCACTTACCCTGAGTCTCGTAAAGCGCGAGGACCTTCTTCGCCTTGGCCGGAGTAATCTTGTTGGGGTGAGCCCTCGCTTGGTCCACCTCCGCCGGCTTATCCATGTTGTGCAAAGAAGAAAGCATCCATCTCTTCTTTTCCATCTCCAGCTCCTTGTAGAGGCTGGCGTCAGTGGTCTCGCCCCAGACCTCTTTCAGCCGCAAAAGGCGGATGCTGTGGCTTGCAGCGGCCATCCGCCTGATTTCACGCTGCATCCCATTAAGATCCATGGACATTGCAAATGCGGCCTCGAGCTCCGGTGCTTCTTCAACAACCGCCTCAATCATTGGCGTTCGCACTTCCGGTGGTGGACCGCAATCCCACGCATCTGGCGGTCTCCAGGAGTCCGGGTTATTGGGCTTAAATGCCATCGACCATGAAGGAACCCGTCGTAATGAGCGCTGCGGGCTAGGCTGGCCAGGCAATAAATTGACAGGCGAATCAAGCATAGCCGGGGAGATCATGGCTGGTGCCGCGGGCCTAGGTCGTGTTAGCGACAATGCTGGTGGGAGACATCATGAAGTACTGACTGTGGCGTTGGAGAACGTGGAGGCGTTGGGGGTTCCTCCTTAACCGGTTCAGCTGTGATGGTTATATGCGAGATCATGCCTGCGATGTCATTTTCTATCGTCCGAGGCAGGATAGTGACCTCAGTGCTTTTAGTAATAAATGAAGTTGGGCCGAGTGTCTGGACGTAATGCTCTCTCTTTGCCGACGTCGACTCGGCCACCGACGTGTTGCATGGGGATGTCGGACCACCTAGAGAGGAGTCTGTCCACTTAGAGAAAACAGAGTCTAGGAAGCCTGAATATCAGTGAGCTGTGGCAAGTTTGTGGAAATGGGCTAGTCTACCTCTATTGGATGAAATTGGTGAGTTCTGTTGTGACTCGACAGAATGTTGCTCTGGCGGCACATACGTGCGATCGACCGTGGTGACCGGGCTACATGGGAGCTCCGTGGGTAGTGGCGGTGGCTCCGAGACAGCCGACAACAGTGAGCCTCTGAATGTGCTGTCGATGCTCGGGGGTTTGAGAGCGTGGCCTGTGGACGTTTTGGCGCTCGATGGTGTCAGTGTCCTCTTAAGACTCCTGGATCCAAAGAAGCTGAATGGTTTGTTGTCGGACGACGAAGAGCTGCGAGTAGACATGGAGCTCCTAGACGCCCTGGTTTTGTCCTTGTGCTCACGCTCAACTGCTTTCCTCTCGCGGTGTTCCTTCCTAGACTCCCTGTCGGGGTCCGTCCACACGACTTCCCACATTGTGAGCCGTTTCTCGTCGGTCCTAACAAGACTTGTACGTTGTTGTTAGGAACCGAGTGGCTAGAGAGACGTTAGGGATGCTGGATATATACGGCCAGTCGTCTTTGGTGCAGGTCGAGACGCAAAACTGTGAGCTTGGTCCGGCCGATCAATTGCACGCCCGAAATTCAGAAAACGGCGTGTTGTTGAATGGTCAGACCTCGTGGATGCCCGAGGACGTAGTTCGTCCGATGATTTGTGTCGTACGAGTGAGTGATGATGAGGTTAAGATACAGTTGCGGTCGGCGATAGGAAGTCGCAAAGGTGAAAGGTTAAACAGCTGCGATGACCGACAGGCTGAACCATCGAGGAGAGCCGGTGGAGTTTGAATAGGTTGAGAGATGCAAGAAACCGAATTGACGAGAGCGCCGTCCCGAGGTGAGGGAGGGTTTGACAAGGTCAAAAGGGAAGCCGTCGTCTGCAGGTGTTGTTGCGTGAAGGTTAAAGGTGGTGGTTGAGAAGATACGGAGGGGGGAAAAAAGGGCAGTCACGATACAGCGACAACAAATAGGTAGGTGCAGCTCTGGTTGAGAAAAGCGCTAGTGTATCAGGAGGAACACGCGAATCCTGTAACAATTGAAAGGCAGACGATGTGTAGAAGAAGCCGATGGAAGGAAGGACCGACTGGAGACGAGGACGCAGAGATGCGGTATCCAATGCGGGCTGCAGATGGCAGATGGCAGATGGCAGTTAATGATTGACGTGTGCGAGTGTCACTTCCGGTTGTCGTCGTGCTTGTGAGGCAGCTGCAGCAGGTTCGATACGCGCCGCAGATGTGAATGTAACGTGAGGGTTGACAACTCTAGGTCGAGATCCGGTGCGGCCGACGGCAACAAGTCTAGTGCGCAACCTAGGTATGGGCCAGTCTCTCGGTACTTGATCAAGAAGTGCAATGACGGAGGGGGAGGGATGCAAGAGCTGGAAGACTGCGTCAGAGGAGTGGGTGGCCCGTTCCGAGAGATTGTATTTGTACCAAAGGGTAATTGCTTTCTGTTCCCAACAGAGACCGGGTTCGACAGCGTGTGATCGTGCGCATCGGTCTGGTTATGTACCGTGCCAAAATCAGGATCAGGACGCCAGTTGCTGCTGGGCAAGCAGGTCCAGTTGGTTAGCAAGCCGACTCGGGGGTCGATCCAGCTCCAGTATGAATTTGTGCTCCCCGGCTCGTCCACATATCGAATTGGGACTAACACAACCGACTTCCCTCAAACCCCCTTGGCCTTGACTCCAGCTACCCTCTCAATCTCGCCGATAGCCCATGCAGTCAATCTGAGATTTTGTGGCGTCCTGCCGGTCATGGCCCTGGTCGCCCATCCATCTGGTTTAGAATCATTGGATATTGATCGGCAAGTGTTTTTCATTGTCTCAATCCGTCCTGCTCCGCGTTGCTTATTCCTCGGCCCCCAGACAAGGGCGTCCTAACCGGCATCGTCAATTCGCCGCTGCTCACAGACTGAGGTGACTGTGTGCCCGGACTGTCAGTTGCACCAAGCACAGCAGCGGCGACTTGTGGAAGCCAACGTCGACGGGACGCAATGCGCCGTGCCACATTGGTGGAGGAAAATTGAAATGATATACCCTTCTTCATGAACCATTCTGAATCGTCAACGGGTTCTGCATTCTCAAACAGCAGAATTCCAATGCCCGGCCTCCCTCTAATCCACGCACGTTGCGACCCTCATTCTTGGCTCGTATGGAACGCAAAAGGGCTGGGAGACAAGGCCGCGCCCTGCCCTGCCGCATACAATAACGATGGCCCCCGTGGAAGCTTTCAGAGAAAGGGTCGGCGCGAAGCTTACGTTGCCGGCCACATGGCAAAACACATCCTATCCTTGGGGCTTTGGGCTATCGATTGGTGGGAGCTAGCCGTATCTTTGGAATCCAAATCGACTGGTGCATACCACTCATGCTGGACGGAACCGAGCTAGCCATGAAATGGAGCATCGGGGCCGTGTTTGCTCCGTCCTTACAAAGTGCCCTCGCACCATTGAAGACAGCTGCACGCTGCCTCCTCGTCCCAAGGTGGTGCTCCTTTCGATCCGCAGCGCAGCAGCAAGACCGGCGGAGAGGCTGTCGCACAGAATCTCCTTACGAGTCCATGACAGACACGGTCGTGTTGTCTTCAGCTGTCAACTCTGCAGTCTGGCGGTTCTATAGGTCGCCGTCCCAGCAGACCGTTTTGCGGGAGGCATCGGTCGATGTCGTCCGGAGAAACCATGATCCCAGCGAGAACGGGGGATCCGGGTGATATGGTGGTATTGCAGCCTACACAGTATTACCCGCTCGAAGCGGATTCCAGAGACTCGGACCGGCAGACCGCTTGTTGGGAGATAATGATGTGTGATGGGGTCGAGGGGCCCTTGGTCTGGGCAACGTCTACACTGAGCAGGGGTCACAAAAGTGGCTAACTGTGAAGCCACAGTGGTGGCATCGCAGTCCATTGTGTGCTGTTGGCGTCGGAAGCCTCGCAAGAGTGAGATGGAGTGCAAGGCAGGGTAAGAGGGGAACCGGGATGTCGTCTGCAAGGCGAGAGAGTTGGGATCACAGAATGGATTCAGGGCGGAGGGTGGATCTGCAGGGAGACCACGACCCGGGGCAGGGCCACCCCTGAGCTCTACGAGATCTAGTCCGTCTTGGGGGATGGAATGGTTCGTGAGTGGTCGTGTTCCAGATTCCCACTGCAGCGGCGCCGCTAGGGGGGCCGTGTCAGGGGACTGCAGTCTGCGGGGCACGTCCTGGCGGCCGTAAATATCGGCTAGTGGCCAGGGACCAGTCACAGCCCAGCGATGCATCGTCCAGCCAAGCCCAGCAAGCCCAGACGCGCCGCGGAGCGATCAATGCCACCCTCCACTGGCCGCTTCGCGGCTCACTAGGTCAGTTTAAGCAAGTTTGCCAACCAACGACAATAGGAAGCAAACATGCTTCCTTTTTCTTATTCCAACAAAGGCCAATCCAAACGAAGTCTCAAAGAAGGTCCAAACTCCATTCCAGTCAGAGGGCCTTTGCAGTCCCTTTTCCATTCATGCCATTGAAAAGAGTTTCTCGAGCCATCTCTAGATGCGGCACACCCTCCCCCCCTCCCCACCCCCAACGTTACCGAACGACAAACAAAACGCTACCAACTCAAAATTGCCAACGGGCTTTACCGCAAACATGTCCCAACATCTCCTAACGGCCAACCCGAGAGGAATCGGACCACGGTAGCTCCATTCCAGCGAGCGCGGGGCACCTCAAGCACGTGGTTTGGTTGGGATGCAATGAGCGTGGCCTTGGACCGACATTTAACTCTCCGTTATGCTGAGCAACAAAGAAGCGAGCGAGCGAGGAAAAGAGCGGGTTTTGTAGCAGTGCATGACGCGTAGGCAAGGTACGACGTGCGTATGTCTGAGTCTTCTGATAGCCGACCAGTGAAGAGGCCCTCATGTCAGACCGATGACGGCTGTAGGACGCGCGAGGTCAGCCGCGAGAGCAAACAGCTAGACAATGGTCAGCAGGGGCTGACGCGAGAGCAGAACATTGCCACAAGCTCAATTTCGGTAGAAGGACGAATTTCCCGCACATGATGCAAAGTACCGGTGGCCGACCTTGGCGGTCCTATCAAGGAGCTTCGAGACATGTCTCGCTTGCCAAGGTCTACACTGCAGCGGCTGCCTACAGGCTCGAAATTGGTTCATGGCCGGATTTGCCGTTGTCATTGGTTTATTATCTGGAAATACGGCAAAACTGAGCGGCCATACGTATAAAGGGATGGTCGAATAGGCTATTGACTGCGGCTTATTAGATGATTCGGGGATAGGATTTGTGATGGTGTACGCTCTTGGAAAGGCCTGCACGACAGAGAGCTTGGTACGAAGGTCGATTGTCTGATTTCCAATGATGAGAGCTATCGCGACAACATCCGAAATCGACGATAAGGCCAGGAAGCAGGCGTTTCTAGTGCCTTGTTCGGGCGATGGCGTGGTCTTTCGGCAGTCTGAGCGATTGACGGACAAGACTAAAGCGCGCCTAACCTGACAGCTGTGTTGGAAGTTCATGGGGCGTTGCGCACAGATGGAGTTCGTCTCTTGAGAGACTCGAGCTAGCGAGATGGATGGCCTCGTCTCTATTCGGAAAGCCTGTCAACTCGTACGAGAGCGTGGACTCGATATCAGTCGTGGTTTTAGAGTTTGGCGCGTCGCCATTGATGCTAAGAGCCGGCTCACAGCCCGTCGGTGAAGCATTGGTGAGGCAATGGACAAGGCGTCTATCGCGTTGAAAAGCCTCCTCGTGCAGCTTTGGGGACTCGAGCTTTATGAGCATTCGGGCGTCAAGAGATGGCCGGTTTGGGGCGAGCTCCAGCAAATGTTCTTTGACGGTAGATGGCATGCGCACCTCCGGTCGGCGATTGAAGATCTCCCATCAGGCTAGCGCCTCGCGTCAATGTGGAAGAGACAAGCTGCGCCTGGTACCTATTAGTGGCGGCCTGGACCTTCTCTCCCGCCACGTCCCGCCTACCTGAGCCCACGATGTGGACTTCCCGCAACACGTCCCCACCTCCATGCGGCATTGGCGCGGTATACTTGTGGAAAAGAAAGACTGATACACCCTCTTTCACTGGCGTATCTCAAGTAGTAGCAGACTAAAGCAGGGTCAACTCGGTGAGGAAAGGCATCCTACTCGAAAAGGGGGGCGGGGGCGGGGGGGAGACATGTCGTCCTGGAGATGCAGATGTAAGGTAGGAAGGGTAGGCAGATGGATTGCAGCTGTGCAGCATACATGGGCAGAAGCGAGCAAGGATATAATTGATCCTGCCACTTTCGCCCCTTCCACTTCCAGATCCTTCCCTTCTCCAGGCATTCCAACAACGCACCTTCACTTTCTTCTCCAACGGTGCATTTGCCTTCCCTTTCTTCTCTTTCCCAAGACAGCTCTTTCATCGATCCTTCCTGTAGAACTTGGTCTTGCCAGTTCCCTCCCTTACGTTACTTTCTTCCTCCATCCAATCCTTCCCACCTTGGGTCCAGTACCACCGGGCCTCACTTCTAGGATCCTGCAGCTTTCCTCATTTTCTCTCTCCTGCCTCGTCGCCGATTGTGTGCCAACCACCTCCCGCCTCACCTCGTACATGAGTCTAAGACATCTCAACCTTCTTCTGTTGTACTGAGTCCTGTGCCACAACCTCCTCACCACTCCTTACCAATATCACTTACCATTCCGAGTCGTCTGGACGCTCGTCCACCGACTCTCCTTCCTCCATCGCCCGGTATGAGCAACATGTCGACTCACTCCAACATGGAGCGCCTGGAACCCGTCGAGTCGCCCGTTCGTCGATCTACCGTCGGCCGCAAATTCCACGCTATGTGGAAAGCTGTTGATCGCTGCGACAAGCAAATCTCCACGTCCACCTTTGGACGAATCTTCAGACTCGAGGGAAGCGGTCATGTATGTTCTTTCCTCTGCCTCCGTGGCCGCATTTCCTGACCGCAGGACAGCCTGAGGAGATCCCCGATACTTCATTTTTCAGGGAGATTCGTGCAGGCGTTACGACCTTTGCGACTATGGCGTACATCATCGCTGTCAATGTGAGCACCTATTCTCGGTCGTGACGGTCGAGTACTGATTGAGAAAGGCAATCGTTCTTTCGCAGACGGGCGGCACTTGTGAGTGCGACTTGGTAAATAGAGCCGACTGCGACAATATCGACAGCTACAAGGCCTGTAAAGAGAGTGAGTCGGACGATATCCCGCAATGAGCCCGGCTAATCTTGCAGATGTTCGACTTGACCTGATCACCGCGACTGCTGCCATCGCCGGCCTCGCCAGTTTCATCTTCGGTTTCTTTACCAACCTACCAGTAGCCCTCGCGTAAGTGCTCGCCTCGTATCCAAATATGGCCCCCAACTGACCTGGCCGTACAGACCTGGCATGGGCCTCAACGCATACTTCGCTTTCCAGGTCGTCGGCCCCAACGGCTCTGGCCACATTCCGTACCGTGTCGCCCTGACGGCAGTCTTCGTGGAGGGTCTTATATTCATCGTCCTCGCTCTTACAGGAATGCGCCAGTGGCTTGTCAAGCTCATCCCCGCTACTATCAAGACGGCAACCGGCGTCGGTATCGGCTTCTACTTGACGGAGATTGGACTTTCTTATTCGGCCGGCATCGGTGCCATTACCGGAGGCTGGAAATCTACTCCACTCGCCATTGCGGGATGCCCTGTTGAGATGATCGACCCCGATACGCAAATGTGTGCTGGAGGTATCATGTCAAGCCCCAAGATGTGGACGGCAATCTTCGCCGGCGGCCTTGTTACGGCCTATTTGATGTCGTTCCGGGTGAAATATGCTCTCATCATGGGTATTGCCCTGGTGTCGATCTTGTCGTGGCCGTAAGTCATCCACAGCCCGTGACGCGATCCCGCTGACCTTTTCAGACGCAACACATCCATCACCTACTTTCCCTACAATGAGGAGGGCGAGAATCGCTTCATCTTCTTCAAAAAAGTTGTTACGTTTCATCCAATCGAGCACACCCTCAACGCCCTTGACTGGGATGTCACAAAGAACGGATCGCAGTTCGCCCTGGCACTCTTCACCTTCCTATACGTCGATATCATTGACGCCACGGCCACGTTGTACTCCATGGTCCGCTTTTGCGGCGTTGTCGACCCCAAGGATGGCGACTTCCCTCGTTCCACCATCGCCTACTGCTGCGACGCGGCATGCATCTCCATTGGCTCGCTGCTCGGTTGTTCTCCCGTCACGGCATTTATCGAGAGTGGCGCGGGCATCGCAGAAGGTGGCCGCACCGGGCTGACATCCATGACTACTGGTCTTTGCTTCCTCATTTCCATTTTCTTTGCTCCAATCTTTGCGTCAATCCCGCCTTGGGCAACCGGCTGCACGCTCATCCTAGTAAGCCTCCGAGGTCTCGATAGCTTTTCTGGTCTAACTGTCGCAGGTCGGTTGCATGATGATTCGCCAGATTACCCAGATCAACTGGCGCTACATCGGCGATGTTCTCCCATCCTTTGTCGTCATGACTTTCATCCCCTTCTCATACAGCGTCGCTTACGGCCTTATCGCGTATGTTCATCACATGGCCTCTTTCTGAACACAACTGACCATACCAGGGGCGTTTTCGTGTACACCGTTCTCAATGGCCTGATCGCCTTGACTGTCTGGCTCTCTGGAGGTAGAATCGAGCCCCGCGAGTACGACGCGAAGGAATACTGGTCCTGGAGAGGCTCCGGCAAGAAGCCCTGGTTCGTGCGCGCTGTCCATAACAGCTGCTTCAGAAACGGTGACAACGATAGTAAGCGCCAGTTCAACATGCAGGACGAACATGAGAGCTCCTACACTCCGGGTTCGCGCATGGGTTCATCGGACCAAAAGGAGGACGGTGTTCATATGGTGACGATCCCACAGCGGGCTGTCACGCCGCGTTCCGTGCACTAAAAAATCATTTGGTCTAGGGTTAGATTCTTCACTTCTGTTACCGGGGAGGCGATTTTCTTTGCGAGAATATTGTGCCAGGTCTACTGGCTATATCACTTGTATCAGCTGTCAATGATCGTAGATAGCAATGAGACCCCAGCTTTGAATTACCTAATTCCTGTGCAGTGACGGTGACATTGGTGGCCAGTGAGTGGTGTTGTTGGCCAGGTGAGTGCCCCGGCGAATCTTTGACCCTGGTCCCGTCCTACCGCGCCCCACCACAGCTCCGACCTTGCGTCAACGGTCCGACGCTTCGACCGCAAACGTTCAAGCTTCTTTCTACAGCTTATTTCTACAGCTTACCAAGTCCCATTCAAGTTCGTAGTCCGATTCGACTGCGACGCGAACCACTCAAGCAATCACGACGCCTCGCGGAACACTCGAACGTCTCTGCGACCAATCGCCACGACATTCGCCAGTAAGCACCCCTCCTCCGCCTCCAAGATGAGTGGTGGATGGAATACCAGTATGCGGCTCTCCTAAATACCCATAGCGCGTGGCCTTTGCTAACCCTCGCAGTCGAGTCCGACGCAGTATGTGACGCTGCCGACCTGAATGTCGTCAAGCTAACCGCCTAGGGCGTCTTCACCTACCTGCTCGAGAATCTCGGTGTCAAGGGTGTTCAGTTTGAAGAGCTGCTCACGCTCTCCCCCGATGAGCTGGCGCCGCTGCAGCCAATCTATGGCATCATCTTCCTCTTCCGCTATCCCTCCGAAGGCCTGCCAGCGCGACCAGCAGATTCATACGACCGCGATGCCGCCGAGCGTCTTTTCTTCGCTCAGCAGACGATCCAAAATGCCTGCGGCACACAAGCGCTGCTGAGCGTCGTCCTCAACAAGACCAACGAGGTGGAGATTGGGGAGAAGCTCGGCGAGTTCCGCGAATTCACCATGGTCCTGCCGCCCGAGTTCCGTGGCGAGGCTCTCAGTAACTCTGAGCTTATTCGCGACGTACACAACAGCTTCGCCAAGAGCAGTCCTTTTGTCGACGAGACGCAGAAGACGGGTGAGGCCGAGGATGCCTTCCATTTTATTGCCTACACGCCTATCGACGGCAAATTATACGAGCTAGACGGATTGCAGCCCGCGCCCATCTCACACGGCACCTGCACGACCGAAGAGTTTCCGACCAAGGTGACGCAGGTTCTGCAGGACCGCATGCTCACGTACGCCAGCTCTGAGATTCGGTTCAACGTGTTGGCCATGGTACGCGACCCGAGGATTGCGGCCAAGGAGATTGGCGATTCCGAGACTCTGGAGCGAGAGAACGAGAAGCGCCGCAACTGGCGGTTCGAGAATGCCCTGCGTCGACACAACTTTGTTGGCTTCGCGGGCGAGGTGCTGAAGGGCGTTGTCGCGCAGAAAGTCGAGGGCGGCGAGGCGGCGTACGATGCCTGGATCAAGGAGGGCCTCGAGCGGAGGAAGCGGGACGAGGACGCATTAAGGCTGAGACGGAAGATGGGTGGCGGTGGTGAAGAGGATGAAGAGATGATCAGTTAAGCGTGTCAATGATACCATGAATAGAAGCAGGATTACGCTTGGGTTGATCTGGGTAAGGTATCGGTGTCTACGAAATGCAAAAGCAAATGAAGAAGCCACCAAAATGCAGCAAACGCAGCTTGAGCATGGCCTGGAAGCCAGCTTTTCTCGGCCACTAAAAGACGGGCAACGAATCACAAAGAGGACTTGACTGTGGGATATGGGCCGTTTTGGTGTACCCAATCGTTCTATCCCCAATATTTGGTGAACAATTTCGTGGCTAACGAGAGCTTATTGACCCGATATGGCCGGCATCGAACCATCGTCGCCTTTTGAGAATGTCTGTTCCTATCCGGACCTTAATCATGCTCTAAGGGCTGAGGAGGGTCTATCTGTCCCTGTCCACGTCTTCATCGGTCTCCTGGCCCCATTCCCAACATGGTGATAAGCAGCAAGTCGCAGTAGTAACTCTGTTCGTTATAGCCGCTGCCCTTGTTGCCCAATCGAGTCTTCTCTACCTCACGAGCGAACTCCTTCGCAGTCATAGTACTTTTGGTATAGTAGTGACGGTACAGTGGAAAGGTACTTGGTGGATTGATGTATGCTGTTATATGGTATGATTTTGCTGTATATTAGCATCTGCCAAAAGGCAAGCTGGTGAGGTGGGAGCATCTTTTATTTTGACTTGCCATGCCACCTCACGGGAACATTCGTGAGCCACTCAGCAGGAAGGGGTTGCCACCTTCACCTTGTCTCCGGGGTCGACACACTCGCCAGCCCTGTTCATCCGTTCCTCCTTCCCATAATACTTTGGCACGCGAAAGGCGTATTCTGCATTCTCATCGATGGCAGCCAATTTATTACAATCCGATTCTTGCGAAGTCAACTCGTCTTCAACTTCCGCACCACCACCCCCAACTTATTAACTTACCTACACCTCACACGCTGCAACAATGGGTCAAGTCAAACCACAGCAGCAGTCGGGAAAGAAGGCGCAGCCGAACGGTCGAGGCCAGCGACAGCGGGGTGGACGTGGCCGGCACGGTCGAAAGCATCGAACTCCTTCCCACTGGTCTTTTGCTCAGGACTTCGCAGCCGGACCTCCCTCCTCCGCCTCCAAACCCTGGGTTTCCCTTGGAAATCTCGACTTCAGCCTTCAGCGGTGGATGAGAAACGGAAACCCGGATCAGACGCTCGCTAATTGGGGCCTCGACACTGATCACTATGCTTCACTTGAGGACCGCGTCCTTGCCGATATCGCGCTCAAGTGGCCCGATGCGACCGTTTCCCTGCTCTACGAGAAGACGCAGGAGGCGAGGGAGCACGTTTACCATCACTTCGCGAGCAAGGCGCAGGCCCGTCTTAGTCTTGAGGCTAGCGACTGGTTCATCCTGGAGGCCTTGTGGATCATCATGAGTAGGCTATAATCGTGGGAGAGAGAGGCTTGGTGTAAAGTTAATGATGTGGCTGACATTGGAATCTTACAGACAAGGCCCAAACTGGCATGAGAAATCTCCCTGAGAACCGCAAGTACTCGTACGATTACACTTACTCGCAGCTCCGTTCGTTCGCGAGCGGTCCGGTGGATATGCAGTACGCTTTCTACCTGAAGAAATACGAGCGATCTCGCACCCCGGGCGCTGCTCCGACAACCACCCCAATGTCGTCAGTCCCTGCCGCCGGTTCCTATCTCATCGGAGATCAGACGCGCATGCCGACGACCTGGATGGCACCTCCTCCCACTCATGGAGGGCTCTTTCATACTAGCCATGGAAGCTCTTTCGTCCCGATGCCTTCGCAGGGAACTTGGATGGTGGGAGGAGGCATGGGTCAGGCGATCGCTCATGGCGGCCCCGCGAGCCACTTGTATGCTTCGGCTCAGCATCTTCCCGGAGCTCAGCAGCGTCCTCCCTTGACCTACTACTAAGTTGATACGTGAGAGCACCCTGGCCTTGATGTGTATTTTGGTTGGTCTATATTCTTCGCTGGAGTGGATATGAACAACGACGCGAAGGCAGAGGAATGTGAGAAAGATCAACCTTGTCAAATCTGGTCGCGGTCATGGTGGATGAGTTGTATTATGTCTAAGGGTAGCAAACGAATGACGAGATTCCGAGTATCAATGATAATACCATGATGATTTTAATTTTCTGCGTATTCCACTGTGAGTGAGACCTTGATGCCATTCCCAGTGAGACTCGACCTCATCCTTTCTCAATGTGGCGTCTTGGGCAGTCTTTCGATCGCTGCGTTATTCCATTTGACTTTATCTCTGGAGATCGCTCGCCATCTTCGGATTGAAAGACACTTCCAGCGTCTCAGCACTTCATAACCCGGTGGCATAGAGTCCAAACTATCCACCAACGTATAAGATTATTACCTACAAAACCTCATCAACCATCCCTAACGACCCAACCAAAGCGTCCTTGGTCTTTGGCGATCATGTCCTCGTTCTGGAGTACGGTTTGCCAATCCTTCGTGATTGGATCCACCTGTAGATGACGCTGGTTCTCAGAGTCCCTGGACTAGTCGTACGTGAGCCAAAACTGCTTGTTCACGTCTTTGAATGTGTCTTTCCAGACCTCCGTGGAGAAAGATTTTGTCCAGGGATATCCAACTGGGCGTCCGTGGGCTGGAAAGATATGAAGGGCCTGGAAATAGTCTTCGAGAAGGACCCAAGCGTACTTGGTCAATATCGGGGGCTTGTTCGCGCGTCGAACAATCAGTACATGATGAAGTATGTCTTCTTCTTCAGCGATTGAATTGGACTTGTGTAATGATCGGCAATTGTCAAGACGATGTTGTGTGGTATTGCGCAGAGGGCATCCGTCAATGTCGCCGAATGGGCCAGGCCAAATGCAATCGATCAACGCGTGGCCGCGAGCCGAGCAATGTCCGCAGATGACTTTAGCGTTCATGCCATCTCGCCTGAGGTATTCGTTTCCTTCCATGAGTATGTGGGTGGCGGTGTCGGGGGTTTGTCTTGACGGTGCCCAGCCCGACAGCGGACGACGACAGGGGATCTGATGGTTACCACTTGAGATGCGCTGATTCGGTTCGACAGAGCTTGTTTGATCTTGTTCCGGTGACCTGCTCTCATGTCCACCTCTCATTGCGGATTCGTCGATTTGGCTGGCATGTGGTTAGTGAATTGACTCTTTGCTTTCTCATCAGGGCTTTGCAAACCTGGAAACATCTTGAATGCCCCTTTTCCGACTGTTCTCCTCGATTTTCAATTCGATACCTTCTCGTATCCAATTAAAGTATCGGCGGTTGCTCATTTCCATGTACCGAGACCAAGTTGAAGATAGCTGAAATTTCCTCGTTTCGGGGTCAATCATCGCAATTGGGAAATTATTCTGCGCGTAAAGCAGGAAGTACGTGTATCCTGGCGCTCCAATGGTCCACGTATTATTTGCGTATGGTTCTCAGGATCCAGGGTACGAGTTCTCTCCGGAATTAGAAAAAACTTGGATGCAATCACAAGAGGCCCCTGTATTTCGTACAAGACGGACTGCTGCTCGAAGCACGTATCTGACACGGCCGTGGCTGACTGGATCACCGAAATGTTGGGTGATGGAACGTCTGTCCCTGATGCTCATAGTCTGCAGCTCCTCGAGTCCAGCCTCATCACCGTCTGCAGGGGTATAATATAGACGGAGAAAGTCAGGGTTATTGTAGCATAGACTATCAGTTGGCGTTCCTTTGTCGACATCTTGATCTATCAAAGCTCCAAGATCTAGAGAGGCTGAAGTGTTCGATCTTGTGATGCTAAAATAGGCGCTCCTTGCTGTCCGATGGCTTCCCGAAACCAACTCAGAGGCAATGGGGAAAAAGTTGAAGTTGTGATCCCATCTAGCCCAGATTGTCGAATTCAAGGATTCTGAGGAGACCAGTTCTTTGAATGATGGGCCATTGCGTAACGACAAAGCCTCGAAAACACTGACTTTGGCTCTCACATGCTTCTCCTTTTCGCCAGGGCAGAAATCTAACCAGGCATGACGCAACAGCTGATTATGTTCCTCCAATTGTCGTACGGGATGCGTGGCTGATCTTTCTTCCAATGTAAGGTGCGAGTTGATGAGCCTGATGATGACAGTGAGGCAGTCTAGCCCAGAGGTTTTGTCCAGCGCCCACAAGGGCAGAGTGCCCTCGGGCCAGTTGCTGAGAAGGAGTTGATCTTGGATCATCCTTGAGTCTGTGATTTCGCGTATGTCTCTCATCTTTCAGGTCAATCTTGCTGTTGATCTTGGACTATTGATTCGGATTGCGTGAGAGGCGAATGAGGGAGAGGCCTAGTGATCCCAGGCAAAAGAAATGGGGGAGAATTCAACGTTGTGACGCGTGACACGAGAAATAAATGGTAGGCGACTAAGGAGCAGTTTGGAAAAACATTATTAGGAAGGAACTCCTTAGCCAACTGCCCCTCGCGGTCTGCAGTCACCTGACTGCGTGAGTCTTATTGGTTTGGCATCATACTTTCCAATCTTTTCTTGCCCACTCATTGAATCCCGGGGATTTCAGTCAGGGGCTTGACATGGATTCTATCAAGTGTCACGGCTACAAGGCTTTTCATAGAGATACGTGGGAAGAATGCATCATACGCCTAATTTACAGACTATCTAAGTGGAAACTTCGTCAACAATAGCAATACCACTCGCTGTGAGCGTTGCATTCGTCTTCGTGTTTCCACAATGAACCACAGTAATGAGAACCCTGCTGATATCGACATCCGTAACCATATGGATTAAGCCTTGAAGGCAGTCATCTCTCGTTTCGCCAATATCTTATCATCATCGCAACAACTTGGGGTCCATTCCGACAGGGCTTGAGAGTCTTCCTCAAACTTTTGGCGTCTCTGGCGCTGGATCTCTTCCGAGCCATCGGGCTTGCCGCCCACTGTACTCGGCTTGCTCTTTTGCATCTCGCGTTCTACCATGGGAGCGTCGAGAAACAGCAAGGGGGCTTCGAACCAATTCGTTTCCGTGTATAAGTTGGGAGACGCTGGGTATCGGTGTGCGATGTACGTCTTGATGAATTTCCGTACCTTCCGCCAATTCTCGTCGCCGCAGGACTTGGCTACGCTCTCCACGTATGCCGTCAGCTTCGATGGGGGTTGTCTTCCTGGCAGCTTGGTCGAGAAGTCGACAAAGGCTGAGATACCGGGGTAATCGGTCCATCTTGCGCCCTCACGCGTCGTCTCGTAGTCGAGGATGCGGTCAATGTCGACCCAGTCCATGACCGCAAAGACGGCCGAGGTCTCATAGGGACACTTGATTATGGGACCGCCTGACTTGCGGCCGTTGAAGAGGTGTATCCATTTCTCTTCCTCCATCTTCTTGCGCTTGGCCTCAATCTTCTTCGAGTACGGGGCGTAGCGAGTGAGGACGTAGTCCTCGGCCATAGAGAGCCACTTCAGGCCCGCTGTGTCTCTACGTCGATCGATCCGGATGAGGGACTCGATCTCATGACGGCCGTGTTTGACTGCGCCTAGGGCAGAGATACAGAGATCTGCCAGAGGTTGACGGACAGACAGAGAACATATGTAGCGAAGGCTTTCGGCACGGGCTTGCGTTTCGGTGCTCATGTATTGGCCGGACTCATTTTCAGAGAGAATGTGAGAAAGCCAATCTGCCGTCTCTGCAGCCTTTGATGATGGAAGGAATCTCGATGTTTGGGGCGTATACGAGAGGGTGATTGCGAGATGTTTGATGTTGCTCAAACAGACGGAGTCGTTATTCTGGGAAGACATTATAATGGATTTGAAAAGTAGCTGTTGTCAAGTACTGAATATTTCTGAGAAAGAAAGAATTTGTATGGGAAATTTGAAAACTAGATCACTGTAGGGAGAAACCTGCCTTTGCTTTAAGAAGAGAAGCAGGGCATCTCCGTTAGGATTGTGCCCTGGAAGTGGCGTAATGAGGCTTCCTTGATCTTTTGGCCGACCTTTGCATTTCCTCGAGGCTGTCAGAAACTTACACGAACAGGGAGGGTATTAGCCCAGGAGCTAAGTCACAGTCAGGAGTGAGAGTGCTCAAGGTTCTTGCGTAGAAAACAAATTCATGGGCTGTTGAAAAGTCAAATGAGAGGAGGAGTATACAAGCATTCGCACTTAAAAGGTGGGCGAACTAGTCACGTCCGTCTCCAGCATCTCCGATTGCCCTTGTCTTGTGGTCGACTCAGGCACATCTCATCGTAAGTCTTTGACACATAGCGTCAACTCACTTTCGCCCATCTACGCACTTTATCCTCATTCCTTTAGCTTCAATTTCATGTTGACACTCGACTCGAAGCTACCCTACCACATCAGGTCGTTCAGTGCGAGGCTTTTATTTCCCCCCAACTACTCCAGCTCGGTCCTCTTTCAGCCTTATCTCATCAGACATAGCATCACACAATCTCTTGTCCAATCCTTTGAAATTAATCAATCAAGCGGTAAGTTGGGGGTTTCTAAAGGTCAGAATTAATTCTGACGCCTCAGTCGATGCCATAATAAAGATTGAAGGCCTTCCCCGCCAGTTCTTCTCCACATCGCCAAAGTGTTTGAGAAATCCGAGGGTTTGCCCCAATAGCTAACGGAACCAGCAACAGGATTCTTTATGATCACCGCGCGAGCACGGTAATCTGGCAGGGCGCTATTCAAAGCGGCTATTGCCCAGGTCCAGCGCTCGACTTTGCACCCTTCGTCGCTGTTGCCGATGGCCCTGGTCCCCAACGAGCATCTATATTGGAAGAGAAGCTCGTATTTGCCTTCCACAAGCTTTCGGATCCAATCGCGTGGATGGACACTTATGGCGACGGTGAGCGGAAGGAAGTTGTCCTTTCGAGGCAGAAAAAGTTGGACCGACATTAGGAGTTGCGTGGCCCCCATACGAGGCGCAGTGCAAGAGGATGTTGAAACAGGTTCAATTCGATCAAAATATTGACAGAATAGGCAGGAGTAAAAGGTGATGGATTACGGAAGGACATACTGCAGAAGCTGAGATCGAAAATGGAGGGACTCTGCCATAGACACCCCAAACCGCTCTCGAGCTCTGAGAAGGAGTGGAAATGCCGAGAAGGAAACAGTTGCTACTCATGCCCTGAACCAAAGCAGTCATCAGAGGCATGAATATGGCGTAATTCACCAGGCCCAGCGGTAATGGTGAATCCAGATCAGGGCAACAGATCGTTGATGTATCTTAACTCAATTGCCTACCCATGCTACCTAGAGGGTAGAGTGTGGTTGGATGGAGACACGGATATGTAGATAAATCCACCTCTCTATCCGTTAACGAGGATATATTCATCAATGCGACTTTGGGATAAGAGCTTCCCAAAATCCTTGCAAGCTCGCCTTAACGACAAGCAGAAGCCGAAAGACAATTCAAACATGATGCTGCCGAGACACGTGCCATTGAGTCTTTTGAGGCGAACCAAACCGTCGCTGCGACGCCCCTACAGCTCTGGCCATGCCATCAGAGGTGCGCTACCAACCAAACCCGTCTGCATCGTACCGTGTCAACCTAATCCTCTGTGTAGAACATGATGTGATTATCCTACGCCAACGAGGGACCAAGGAGCCCAAATTTCACCTCTCGCCCCCTCTGCGAACCGACACAGTGATCAAACTCTCTTACGGCAGTAAAGTCAACGGCTCCGACATCATTGGCAAGACCTTTTCCGACTCGATCAAGGACAGCAGCGGCCGCAATGTGCGATTCCTCGAGGCGTCCCTTGGGCAATACGTCGCCAACTCCCCGCGCGTGGCGACACCGGTATGAAACGGCTTCTTCCTAGGACCTGAAATATTATAGAAGGGAAGCCCACAAGACTGAAACGCGCGCGCGACCATTTGGGCAGATCTATCCCCAGGACGCCAACCTCATCGTGTCCTTCCTCGATCTTAACCTCCCGGTGCCCGGTGAGGACCCGGACTTTGACGCCGGCCCGCCCGTCGAGATCTTCGAGGCCGGCACGGGCATGGGTGCCCTGACGCTGCATATTGCGCGGGCGATCCACGGCGCGAACCCGCCCCTGCCGCCTCGCCTGCGCGACGCATTATGCACCGCTCCGTACGCTAGACACACCTTACGGAAGGAAATCGCGTCAGACGAGGTGGAGGAGGAGGAGGCGCACAAGGCTGTGCCGCACTCCATCGATATAGAAGACCCGGAGCTTGCGGCGCTTTACAAGGAGCATCTGAAGAATCGCCGGGTGATCCTACACACGCTGGACGTCAACCCGACGTCGAGCAGAATGGCTCATGGCCTCGTGAGGCACTTCAAGAGGGGCCTGTACATCTCCGACGTCGACTTTCACGTCTGCACGATCCGATCGTACCTCTCATCACGTCTATCTCAGAATGACGGCGAGGCGTTCCTCTCGCACGTGATCCTCGACCTCCCCGCGTCACAGGACTACGCGGACATCGCCGTCAAGGCCCTCCAACCCGACGGAAAGGTCATCATCTTCTTCCCGTCCATCACGCAGATCCTCGACTTTGTGGTATGGGCCAAGGACACAGAGCAGCCACTGGTGTTGGACCGCGTCGTGGAGCTGCAGACCTCGACGTCAGGCGATGACATGTTCCAGGATGGCACGGGCGGCCGAAACTGGGACGTCAAGGTTGTGAACATTCGCAAGGCGATCGAGAAGGGCGAGACAGGTGCGGCGGCGAGGGGAATTGTTTGCCGGCCCAAGGTCGGGTCGCGGATTGTTGGCGGCGGCTTCGTTGCAGTCTTCAGCAAGTTGCTTCTGACGGCGGCCCAGCCGAAGCAGAATCCGGATGAGATTGCGTCTGTCACAGAGACTGAGGTCCTGCTTGAGAAGGAAGCGCCACCAAGCTCATAGGGGCGTAGTCATCAATGCGGAAGCAAGCGAGCAGAATAAGGCGAGCTGCTACGGTCTCCGAGTCGCCTGGACCTGTTCTGTTCATGTGCTTGGCTAGTACGATACTCGTGTACAATATGGCGTTCTTGACCAACTACATAGAGATAATAGATGTGCCGATATAGGAATAGAGCTAGGTCAAATGAGACCCCGACATTGGTGCAAGTTGAAGGGCTAAAACACCACAAAAGTGCGTGCAACATCCGTCCTCCTACTCCATGTTGCCGTTTAACCCCCAGATGCAGATTCTGGCAAAAGATTACCGAAAAAAACATACAACACCAGGTGTTCGCTGGTCGTCACCGACCCAACTACTAATCCGGCCCTCATTAGCTTATCTATGGGAGAGCGGACGGGATCCCGAGTTTTCCAATGGGTATGGTCGTATGTGGTAAGAGTGCTAAGCCAAACTAATTATATCGCAATCCCAGAGCAAGCTACCTTCCTATCGCAAGGCTGGTTCTGTTCCACCTATACTGCAAGTCGGAGGTCTTGATAGATCATCATTGAATGATTTATATAGACGGATTAGTGAACAGAAAATTTTTAGTGTCCTATGAAGCAGAGCATGGCGTCGCGAACTAAACATCCCAACGTTCTGCGTGTTTTCTTGGTGGTATTGGAGATTACAGTGTAAATACAGTGCGCATGCAATATCTGGCACGATTCCCTACCCTCCACACTCCATGGCGTCTACATCCCCATCCTCACTGGACCAATTTCAAACAACGCCTCTTCCCAAGTTGAATCCAATCTCACGAGAAATTTACGAGATGGCTTTTACAAGTACCGTCACGCAGCTCTCCATTCCGCTACCCCGCTCTCTCGACACCCGCATCCATATTCACCTAAGCACCAAGGCCAAGGTGGCGACCCTCTTCCTGACCTCAGTGACGCAAGACGAACAGTCAGGGCCGGCGGCACTTGGGTCTTTCGTATACGCACTACCAAACGTACTTTATCCCACATGCCACCAAATATCAAGCCCATGAATACGAGCTCTGTGCTGACACACAAATAGAGACTCGACCCGGCTCAGCCCATCTCAACGGCCATCTACTCGGTGGAGTCGACGCTGGAGTTCACGACGAGGATGGCCAAGCTGCTGGCCAAGCGGGCCGGCATGCCGGTCTACGTTGGCTGCTCGGTCAACCTTGGCGGCGCGGCCATGAGTCTCTCGGTGGAGGAAGAAATGGAGGCGTTCCGGGCCATCGTCGACGTCGTCACGGCGAAGCTCAAGGGAGAGCCCATGATCAACGGTGCTTGAACATGCCGTAGCTGACAGGGGATTATTTTGGCGCAAGGGAGCCGGTCTACCGTCACACAGTCATTTCCTTGTTTACCGCATTTGTCGACCGCTACTTGCGATGTTCGGAGAGCGCGGATCAAAAGACGAGGCCTCGCTGCCTGCAACTTCCTGAAGCGGACGGGTAACAGTCACACAGGGCTTGTGAGTGGCATGCGGCGTGCCGGGCTTACGAGGGGGCCCGGGGTTTGCGCGGCGGACCGAGCGATAACGTCGACATGTGGCTTCGGGCCGTCGGCTACAACTACGGGGTTGCCGGGCTGAGATAACCGGCGAGAATTCTGTACAGCGCGAAGGGTGTTAAGGAGAAAGACGGCGATACCCAACGTCATAGACAACAAGGACATCATCTCTAGTCTGTCGAGGCTGCGCTCGAGGTTGCTATGACAAAGCGCGCAAACAATGCGAGTGACCCGGATGGGGAGTTTGGCAGGCCATATGGCATCTGACCTCTTTGAATTCTTTTCTTCTTCTTTCTGATTTGGTGTCATTGGCTCCCGTGCCAGAAATTTTGACTGCCTTCTTGGAAGTGTTTGCTGTCTGAGGCTAGAACGTGGCTAAGACCCGCCCGAGCAAGCTGAGCTGCAGTCGTCCGTTGATTTTGAACACATGGTTTTCCATTTAAGATTGTTTGGTCCTGTTTCGTGATAGAAGTTCGGCTCATTCCTTTTTTTCCCCTTTTTTTTCAAGAACGCCTCCGAAGGGGATTGGGTAATGGATGGGCCTGGGACTACAGGTTGACCCTCAGGGTTTGCTCCTCGCTTCTTTTGAAGATTCAACGGAGACCTAATTACCATGGGCATTGAAGAAACCGGACCTGTCAAGAGGACGGTATTCATTTACTGCATACTAATGGCGATCGATCTCGTCACTTGCGGAGTGCACGAAGAAAGGTTTCCTAACGCCTGTGCGACGTTGTAGAGTCCCACCGCAGTTATGGCAACGTCAAAAGATGCAAGCAAACGCCTGGACTCAAGGAGTTGACCGTTGCAGGGGTCAGTCAACGTGTCTCTTTTGTGTTCCATGTCAGCCATCCTACACTAGGCTCTCGAACTCAGCGTAGGCCATATCTTTGTAGCAGACCATGATGTTCAACGCCATGAGCATATTGAAAATCGCACCACAGATCTGGCAAGCAGAAGATCCGAGAATGGAAGGCATGCATCAGTCAGATTCCAGCGCTGCAGCAAGGCGGCAATCGCAAGCGTGTTCCACGTGCTGTGTGAGAAAAGATTGAATCTTGGCAAGAACGACAGGCTCAGACGCTTTATCGACATGGCGTTGTGAGCCTGCGTACCTGCCCTGAAGGAACGAGGGGTAGAGAGGAGCACGGGCCACGCAGGATGAATCCAAATGTCGACACTGCACAGGCACAGTCCAGTAGCTCAGGATTTTTTTTCTCATGGTAGGGTAGCAGTGCAAACTGTGAGACGGAGACACATCGGCGGAAGGACTGATCAGCAGGACCAGCTCAGTTGTCAGGTCCCTTTTTCCACCGGCCGTCTGCCGTTTCCAACCGTTTGGCTTCCCCGATCACCACCGTTTTCCAGTTTCCAGCCCCCTCCATTCATCTCATCGGATTTCTCCTGATTCCGCGCCTGCCTTACCTTACCTGTCATTATTTGGTTTCCTGAGCATCGTCCCTTTCCTAACCCCAAATTGACCCCGTTTAGATGCCCATCCAACATTTTATGAGCTTCAACCTCACAGCCTGTTGTTCACAGCATCGAGTTGTAAATATATTCACATACATAGGTACCGGAAACGAATGGCCAAAAGCTTGTGATGATTGAAGAGCGCGTAGACAGTTGATACTTACACGGCACACTACACCGCACAACACGACTCATTAAACTTTTAAGTACCTGGTATTCATCGCCACAATCGGTGTTGGGACGGGAAGGAAACCTCAGAGAAGACGGCACGGCATGGCTAAAATTAGGCATTTCCCGTGCCTCTCACTCGCACATGTGCATCTCCCTCTGCTTATTCAACCCTCCTGACTACTAGTACCTCTCTCGCCTCACCTGCTCAGGTCATTCCACGGGAGAACAGACGCCTCAAGCTGCCCATGTCTCTCCCACAGGGCAGCCATCTGGGAGGCCAAGACATCTGCCTTTGCGTCAAGGTAACATGACACTGAGGTGAGCGGTGCAGTGCCCTCGCACCCTCGCTACCTGACCTTAACGTACGGGCCCAGATGCACTACGACGGACCACTAGCGCTGCGACTCTGTACTTTTGGCCGGGGACTTCAACTGATCCCACCGTCCACGCCTGCCCGAGGTACCTTACCTCAGGTCGCATATGCCCTTCTCTGCCCACCCAAGATACCATGTCCAAGGTACCGCTAGGAAGCGGTCTCGTCCAGAGGTACCTTACCCGCTACTCCGCCGCACCATAGTTATCGCGAAAAAAAAGCTGACAGGGCGACCCCACCATTTCGCCAGTCAGTGTTGCCAGCCCGTCGCCAATGTCAACGCCCACTGCCCTCACTACCAACTGTGGCCTGGCTAAACAACTTCAACGACTGCCCCTCTCTACCCTCCCGCCGTGCTCGACAACCACCCGGTCGACCGATCTCACACCACCGCTCCGTCGCTCGAATCCTCCACCGATTCTCGACCACCTCGCACGTCGCCAGTCTTTTTGACCTCCTCTCTTCTCCACCACCTTCAAATAGGCGCCAGTCATGGCCTGGCAGCCGGCCCCGGAGTCCTTGAGCCAGCTGGCTGCTTGCCTCAAGGACTCGCTCAGCGGCTTCGACAAGAATGCGCAGAAGCAGGCAGAGATCGTGAGCCGCCCACCATCCACCCCGTTTGCCCATCGCAACACTTGCTAACCGCCATTGATGCGCAGATGCTCACACAGGCTAAGGCCTCCCCCGACTTCAATAACTATCTCGCCTACCTCTTCTCCAGCGCCGATCCTCCCCAGGGTGTACAATGCTCCGCCCAAGACTTTCACCTCGTGCGCTCCGCCGCCGCCATCATGCTGAAGAACAATGTGCGCACCGGCTACAAGCAGATCCCCGAGAGCAGCTTGGCCTTCATCAAGATGGCCGTTCCCCTCGGTATCCAAGACAAGAACTCGCAGATCCGCAACTACGCCGGCAACATTGCGACCGAGATCATTAGGAGAGGCGGTATCTTGAGCTGGCCCGAATTGCTACCCCAGCTGCTCAGTCTCATCTCCAACGAGAACGGCCAAGTTTCCAACGAAGGCCAGGAGGGCGCCATGTCTGCCATGGCCAAGATCTGCGAGGACAACGTCAAGGTTTTAGAGCGTGAGCATAACGGCCAACGCCCCCTGAACTTTTTGCTCCCCAAGTTCATCGAGGCCACCAAGAGCGAGCTGCCCAAGGTCCGCGCAAAGGCCCTGACTGCCATCAACGTCTTCACCCCACGCAAGTCTCAGGCTATGCTCAACAACATTGACAGCCTACTGAACCACCTCTTCATCCTGGCCGGCGACCAGCACCCCGATGTGCGCCGCCAGGTGTGCCACGCCTTCGTCCAGCTGGTCGAGACCCGCCCCGACAAGCTGCAGCCGCACATTGCTGGCCTCGTCGACTACATCATCACCCAGCAAAAGAGTGACGACGAAGATTTGGCGTGCGAGGCCGCCGAGTTCTGGCTGGCCGTGGGCGAACATGA